CCACTGTAAATGGAGAGCAGTTGGGATTAATATAATTTTTTAAAACCCTAAGTATGTGGTAGGTGATCACTTAGCATACCTGAATCGTTTCCATTTTGCATTCCCATAGAGAAGTTGGATAAACAGTTTTTAAAGGTGGAATCTCCTCTTCTCACCCACTTTTTCATTTCAATATATGTTTACCAATTGGGTAATCATTGCAATTGCAGAGTGGGATGGTAGTTATTACTGGTTTAGGACCTGGGGGACATTATTGTTTTGTTTTGTTTTTCTTCTTGTTTCCATTCTGTATTTTGTGTTTGTTTTTAGCTTGTATTTTTATGCTGTGAACCTTCATTTCGGATGAAGGGTGGTATACAATTTTTAAAGAGACAGACAGATTTATGATGTTTTACAGAACGAAATGGTGTATATGGTGGAGATGGGAAAGCTTTTTGGGTGTTCGTGTCAAATGCTCAGAAAACCATTCCAGAGTTGTTTTTGTTTTGTTTTGTTTTAAAAAGTTTTACTTGAACACTCAAAAAGCCCAATTAATTTTTGGGCGAACCAGATCGCGTCCACCCATCCCCTGATGTCAGGGAGGACACTAGGCTACAACCTGATGCCTAGCTTTGCATGTGGAGGAAATATTTTTGTACAAAGTAGTATTCAATCCTGTGACACCCCTCCTCCATGGTCTGAAGTGGTACAGTCCAACCCTAGACATAGGCTTGCCCCCTCAGTAAGAAAGGGGCCATGACATGAGATTTAGAACACATTTACAGTTGCCATGGAAATATAGCCTGGTGGGCAAGTTCTCCATCCCTCACCTGCTATGAAGTATTGTGCAGAACCAGTCATTGTCCCATGGTGGGTCACCAATGGTCACCAAGAATATGGACCTTCTTCTTCGGCGATCACTCGTAGCCGAGTAAGATTGTCTTCCATAAACACGGTTTTAACAGTGAGTCCGTAAGTGACTGTGGAGGCCAATTCTGGATCCACACGTCCTTCCACAGTGGGGACATTGGTTTCCGGGCTGGAGTTGACCACGGTGGGGTTTTGCCAAGTGTGCCTTCCTCTTAGCATGTTTCTCCCTTGCATCTTGAGTTTGAGCATCTTCAAAGCCCATGACACCTTTGGTAAAGGCTGTTCTCCAACTGGAGCACTCGCAGGCCAGTGTTTCCCAGTTGTCAGTGTTTATACTACATTTTTTAAGATTTGCCTTGAGACAGTCTTTAAACCTCTTTTGTTGATCACCAGCATTACGCTCTCCATTTTTAAGTTCGGAATAGAGTAGTTGCTTTGGAAGACGATCATCAGGTATCCGCACAACATGACCAGTCCAACAAAGTTGATGTTGAAGAATCATTGCTTCAACACTGGTGATCTTTGCTTCTTGAAGTACACTGGTATTAGTTCACCTGTCTTCCCAAGTGATGTGTAAAATTTCAGTACACAGAGTGGTGGTGGTGGGGCGCTGTTGACAAGTACTTTTTAATAGTGGCCATAGAGATCCCATTTCAAGGAAATACTTCTTCATCAAGGGAAAAAGTTCAGGAGATGCTTCCTGTTGCTTTCAAACTTCAGCTAAGCCATTGTCAAGGAAATAACCCCTGATCACCCCCCCCCCCCGACAAGAAAAGTGCCTTGAAACACATTGGACACACTGAGCATTTATGAATAAATTACATAAGCTAATGCAATGGAATTCCTTTGTAAAATATTATGTATATATATGATGAAGTAACATTTTTACTTAAAAACCCCACTCCCCCATATCATTGCTGTTCGCATCCATCTCGGGAGACAATGGAAGAGTGTGCCTTCAGGGGTAAAGTTGGATAGTTACAGTGCTTCGATTTTTTAATGTATTTTATATTTTTTCTATTTTATGATTTTCAGTTTTATACATTTCAATAAATTTACAATCATTTTAACATTTCAAAACTTGACTTCCTCCCCCCCTTCTGCGGTTCCTTAATTTTTAATATTTTCTGCATATCCAAATTAACTTAATTTGCTCATTTATTCATCTACTTTAAATATAAACTCTTATAAAACTGCAGGTTATTACAACAATCCTGCCAATGTTCTTATCTGTTTACAGTTTGTAAATATTCAGTAAACCGTTTCCATTCTTTTATAAAAAGTTTGTTATATTGATTTTTTATTTCTCCGGCAAGTTTCGCCATTTCTGCATATTCCATTAAGTTTTTGCATCCATTCTTCCTTTGCTGGGACTTCTTCTTTCCATTTTTGGGCAAGTAACATTCTTGCTGCTGTAGTCGCATACATGAATAAATTTCTATAGTTTGGGTAGTTCTGTCCCTATAATTCCCAAAAGGCTCCTCACTGTATATGTTTGCCTCCAATCCATGAGGGGGAATTGATATCTTCAGAGAACTGTCCTTTTCTGCATCTATTGCTCTATAAAGACATTTTCTTAATTGCTATGTAAAATAAACAAGCACATATTCCACAAATTCAGGGCAACTGATATGCAAAGAGGTTTGGGGTTTGGGTGCGATGCATCTTTCCTCCAAAGGCGTTCATATCAGGAAACCCAGCATGATTAAATATGATAATCATCTATAAAGGCGAGAAAATAATTCAAAAATGTGCATCCATAAGATTACAAGAACTTTTGGCAGGCAACACACGGAATGCCTTTGGGTCCATATATTAATTTGAAGCAAGGCCCAGTCTTTAAACATCATGCTAATGCATTCATGATTATCTACAAGCAGTTGTGCCTGAAGTATAAATTATCGCTGCTCATCCAAAGGGAACACCTCTCTAAAGTTCTTTTTAAAACCTATCAATATGGCGCTTATTTATTACGCTGGCCTGTCCCAAAGGCTGTCTCTATCTAAATTACAATAATTCTGAGTTTGCATGCAATTAGATATATAAAGGTAAAGGGACCCCTCACCGTTAGGTCCAGTCGTGAACGACTCGGATTGCGGTGCTCATCTCGCTTTACTGGCCGAGAGAGCCAGCGTACAGCTTCCGGGTCATGTGGCCAGCATGACTAAGCCGCTTCTGGCGAAACCAGAGCAGCGCATGGAAACGCCGTTTACCTTCCCACTGCAGGGGTACCTATTTATCTACTTGCACTTTGACAGGCTTTCAAACTGCTAGGTTGGCAGGAGCAGGGACCTAACAATGGGAGCTCACCCCGCGCAGGGATTCGAACCGCCGACATTCTGATCGGCAAGCACTAGACTCTCTGGTTTAGACCACAGTGCCACCCGCGTCCCCTAATTAGATATATAAGCATATGAATTTTAATATTTTTACTTTGTCCCCCTTTTGGTAACAAAGTCCATCTTTTTTTTGCTGATGCATAAAGAGCCACCCTATAGTACTGTCAGCATAGCATTCTGGATACTATGATAAGCATGGGGCGAACGTAGCAACACGCTATTGAGGCAAACGTGCGGGTCTCTTTCTGTCTTGTCACCCCGAGTGTAAGCGAGTGTAAGCTCGCTTCCCAGCCCAGTCGGTCGTTTACAGCCGGAAATCACTCAAGTCAATAGTCATAGCTGTGATGGCAATCAAATTCCAGCTTGCAATACACAAAAGGACTCCCGCCCTCCTTTAGTGGCAAAATTGCCCCGGAGGGAAAGAGTTCAGCATGAACCTGCATGGCTGAATTAAAGTCAGCCAGTGGCACAATGTGGTTAATGTAGCTCCGCTCTGGGGAAGTGTTGTCTCTACCAGTGACATCCAATGTGAGGCCAGAGGGCAGAAAAGTTCTCTGTAAAGAATAAGGATGGGGAGGGGAGGACACTAAATATAACAGGAAACTGTAGGGTATGAGATGGGAATGCAAAGATTTAGATAGAAGTATCGTGTCAAGGCTAGATTATACAAGCAGCAGTATGGGAGGGAAGACCAGATCACTAGAGAATGATACTGTGGACCCAAAGCTTTTTGCCCCAGTGTTTCCAGAAAATGAGGGAATGTGGTGAAGTTGTAGACATTGCTGCCATAGGGCTTACACACACCAGAAATACCTTATTTAAGCCCAACAGACCAGTTAGTTAAGACAGTATATTTGCAAAGCCTCTGTGCATTTACAAAGACAAAGCAGCAAAATCGTTTTGCTGAATTACAGAACACCGAGTTAAATTGGTGTTTGAAATGTGTAGAAACCACTCCACCCCCAAAGGAGTTTGTCAGAGCTTTGGGTTTTCAAATTAACATCCCTTTTGACCAACTTCTATAATCTGTTTTGTGTTTGACTTGCTTTTAGTTGTTTTTATTTTTTTAGAGTTTGCAGAAAACTTATTAACTTTACTTGAAGTCTCATTTGTGTTGTCATTTCTCAAGGGCCCAGTTCCCATAACAAATCCCCTGTGCAGGAAGGATCTTCTGAAGACTGCATATGCTCTGTGTGCATGACAGCACCTTAAAATCTGGACCTGTCAGAATTGATGTTTTCCACTCTTCCTCCCCTTGTTTTAGCAGGTGGAGGGGTCTGGCTTGACAATCTCTTTTTAAACCCCAAACCAGCTGACTGCAGCACTGAATGGAAATGTAGAGACAAGCTAGATGATGGTTCATTTCCAATCAACGTATTAAGCTTACTGACAACAATTAGTGGCACATACTATTATAAATTGGGAGCCATCATCTCTACAAACAATGATCATTCTCTGCACTATATTGTATGTGCGCGCGCAAGCAGAGTATGGTGAGCTGATTCATGCAGGGCCGGAAGAAAAGATCCTTTGATTGGCTCATACATGATAGAAGCACATCACATGATGAATCGACTCAAAATTGTGGGGAACAGCTCATGAGAAACATTGTAAATAAGGCAAATGGAGGTTTCGGCTGGGGTTGCCGCATCTGTGTCAGTTACTGAGACAAGGAAGTCATTACTTAAAGTCGCCACAATCATATAACGTTCATTTGTGGATCAGCCCTTAGATTACTGGGAAGGATTCATCTTTCTGCATGATCTAACGCGTTACATAAATGCAACAAAATGGTCTCAGACTACCCTAGGTATGCATGAATGTTCAAATAGTTATGCTTTATTAAGAATATTTACAGCAGTTTTAGGTAGAGAATTCCATCAGTAAATGACCCTGAACGCACACCTTGAAAAATCATCTTTATTCACATCTACAGTACAGTATAAGAAAGCAACATTTTCCCATGCTACATGAAACTGTTCACATTTTGGAAGGGAACTTCCTTTTGGAAGCTTCTGGATTCTGAGGACCAACTTGTCTTGTATAACATTATTCACAAAACTGGGGATAGAGATCTGACATTCAGACCCGCTACTGGCTCAAAGAAGAATTTGCAAACTGCCATACAAAGCACAAACTGCAATCACACAGTGGTCTTTGTTGCCCCATAGCCTCCCAAATGCAGAGTAGCTTGTAGTGAATTTTTTTTTTTGGGGGGGGCAGGAATCATCTCGTTAGTACTCCAGCTTCATACCTTTTAGTCCATGGTGCTATTAACAGCTCAGCACAGCTTTTATATGAGTTGTTACACTCAATTCCCTCTAGTGGTAGGAGAGATTTGGTAGTTCATGTTTAGATCTGGATCATCTTCTGGACTGGCTTCTACTCTAGTCTGGCTTTATCTGGAAGGCTCTGAAGTACTGTCACCATCACAGTCTTCACCTTCAAAAAGGCATCCAGAAAATAAGCAAATGAGTGGTCATGAATGCTATTCTGGCTGCAATACCAATTTTGTTTATTTTATTATCACTATTTTTTCGTATTATCTTTCTTTGTATTCAGAATTTGTTTCTTTATGCCTAGCAAAAAAAGAATCATGCTATTTGCTGTACATTATCATTTTTCTTTAACAAAAAAGCAAACAAACCAGAAGATGACCTTAATTCCTATGTTGGGGGTGATACTAACAAGCACATACAAATATAATTGCGAATCAGTTAAACATTTGCTCTGATAAACAATGTACGGTAGTTTAGGACCAACGTGCAAATGGATGAATCAATATGAACCGAAAAGGGATAATTTAAACAATAAGGGCGGGGAGAGAGAGGGGCATTGCCTTCATTTCCTCATCTAGTTTTCTCCATCATGTTACTTGCTATAAAAGTATTGAAGGGTTCCAAGTCCCTTCATTTACTTAAAAACTTTACTCACAAACTCTTCAGCATTCAGCAATATAAAAAGTGTCAGATATTACAAAAGTGAGTTTTGCAGCTTTCTTACCTACAGAATATAATTGCTTTGGGGAGTAGACTGAAGGAATGTCTACTAGAATGAAAGTGGGGGTGTCCATCAGCCCCCACTTGCACAATTCCCAGTCATTCCCATTAGCTCAGCATTAACATAACACTACTGTGTATTAATTAGGCTGGAGAAATAGTCAGTGTATCAGTGCCTGAACTTTAGCAGGTAAGATCATTCTCTGAATCTCCTAGTAAATAAAATCAGTGTTGGCCATGATCCCAATGCTAACCCCCAATAGCTCCTCACCATTCAATTCACTACCATTCAGAGCCAATTTTGATTCCCACCCCTCTGTCTTCCTCTCTCTTTCTGTAGTTACTCTGTGGTGGAATCTACATGGAATGGAGTTGTGTGAAATGGCCTCAAAATATAAAGAATTTCTGGGGCCCCTTCCCCCCCTTTTTCCTAAGAAGTTGCCACACAAAGTGTACTTGGGAAGCAAACTTTAACAGAAAAGGATATGCACGACATATGACAGCAAACACAACCTTCCTTCTGTTTGACATCAATCCAACTGGAAATTACTTTGGACACTCTGACAGATGTTTATCACAGCTGGTAGGGGCAGCAGAAATCTTTCCTATTACTATAGCTAATGCTTCTGACAGAAATCCAGGCAAAAACGTTAAGCGTCTTCCCTTTCATAGGGATTTGGTGTCCCACAATCCACGTTACAGGTTTTTGATGTAGCAGGGAAAATTATTGCTTTTAAAAACCAAACGCCGTCAGCTGAAGTTCACTGCGGATTAAGTACACAAAAGATAAACGCCTGCAGCAGTGGTGGATCAGTTGCGCACATCATGATCTCTCACTTATCCAGCTTCCAAACCCTACTTAGAGAGACATGCAGCTCCAGTTTAAAATATGCCATCTGCTTGCTGTTTGGTGCTCTCCAGCTGCTACGTAGTAAGGGAAATATGGAAATCGGGGTTGTCGAAAATTAAAGGCCTTCTTGGGGGGTCTGCTTCCTTGTCAGCTTTATGCAGCAGCTTGAAAAGTCCAGTTCCAATGTTCATGGGGATACCCATAATGATGCACTCAGAAACGCCTAGAGAAGATCAAGAAAAAACAATTAAAGCCTCATATTTCCCATGCAATGTGCATCATGGACTTAAAGAAGCAGAGGTTGTTTAAGAGATTAGCTGCAGTAATATTACATATTACAATCGTGAAGACTGATCTAAAGCAATTATTACCTGCAAACCAACTTCACTACGTCAAGGCCATGGTGAAAAAAGGAGTAGGATGAGAGATCATTCCTTACTATGGGGCAACAGCAAAAAAGGCCATGCTCCATGTCAGGGAACTGACATCGGAGCCAGAGGCGGAGGCTAGGCTCCCAAGTGATGCTGGAGAAGGGCCCAGCAGGGAGAGAGGCAGCTCATCAGCTGGGGAAAGAAATCAGCGCAACACCAGGGATAAAGGGGAGCAGATGGGGGAATCGGCGAGGGGGCTCCAGGACTCCTTGCCGGAGACCAGCGGGGAGAGCACGGGTCCTCCGCTACCCACACCCTCCCTGCACAGAAGACTTCCGCGCAGGGAGAGTAGGAGGAGACTTGGCGTCAAACAGCTTTTATGCTGGAAAAGGTTTAAGAGACGCCCACTGACGGATTCTGCTAGCGACTGAAACAGCCACGAAGTGAAGGGCTGTCCAGACAGGAAAGGTTTAACCAGGCAACCTAGCCAGGAGTGGCGGCAACTTACGCACGAGCAACCCCTATTATTATTACACTCCACTTCCCCCATTTTCAGCCAGGATACATTTAGAGAGCTGTGCTTAGTGGCAAGATTCATCACCCAAGACACTTACCACACACTGAATCCTTCTGCCCAAAATATGCAGCGTCGAAGAGGTGATCTGCTGTCTTCTCAAACGAAGCAAGCATCAATACACTCTCCTTCATTTTTGCCAGGCCAAACCGAGTAATCCCCAGAACCTCACCCTAGTCCGAGAAAAGGAAGACAGCAGAACCTCATAAGCTAATTCATGCTCACCAAAGGCTTTGACTCTGTACGAAGAAGGCAAATCTATAGGGTGGATGAAGTTGCATTTCTTGTCCTGGGCAAGTGTATGTTGGTTTGCAAGCCCCCTCCACAGAGGCTGGCCCCTCTTACTGTCCTCGGAGCTTGCATACCGGTAACCTCCTCTGGCTGATATCCAGACAGACCAGGGAGATTTTGATAGGCGACATTTTCCCAAAAGTGGGTAAAATGCACAACCCCTCCCTCCTGCTTCCGCAGGGGAAAGAAAATAAGTCAGAAATCTATTTACATGATGTTTATTTCTGACATTACAGCACTAGAGAAAAACACGTCCTTTCAGTTCAGTTCTTCTAGCAGGTCTGACAAACTTCCTAAACGTGCACACAGAAGGTTTCAAGTTACACTCTTCACAAAGACTTATCCAGCCTGTGAATGTCCTGGGAAGTTCTTCTTTCCCACAGATAGGCGCATCATGTGATGTCAACAATCTGGGTGTCTGCAGCGGTGATGTTTCCATATACTGACAGTGTACACTGATAGCTATATGGATGCATAATAATTTGTCCAGCATGGTTGTTAATAAAGGAGATTTGGAACAATTGTCTTGCCCGCCTTCTCTCAAATACAACATATACATATATAACATATTTTTTACATATGCAACAGCCTAAGACCTGCTATGCTTAGTTTCTTATTGTTCTATTATATTAGGCCACTGATTCTTGAGTGCCAACTTCCCTTTCCCTGGCCTTGGCCAATCAGGTGTGGGGAAGTGTCAATGTCTCTTGCAATTGCTGGCAGCAGAGGCTGATCTCTCCCAGTCAACAAAGCAAGTGGAAAGCGAGTATGGCAGAGCAGCAGCTGACAGACCAGCCTGCTCACTCTGCCCACACTGCTCACTCTTGTGGCGATGGGCAGAGAGGAAGGAAACTGGGTACACCAGTGGGGGCAGGGGGCAGGATATGTGTGGACATTCCTGGAAGGGCACATCCGAATGATTCACATATTCCTGATTACTTGGATCAAAGGAAAAACAACCACCCGAAACCTTAATTTGGGCTTAGAAGATATACTATATGTCAGTACAGTAAACGGATGCCCATCATGAGGCTCTTTGCTACGCAGGTGCCTATGAAGGGAGTAATCCATGTGGATATCGCAGCAAGCAACACTCGTATAGGTGTTTCCCCGGTATTTTCTTCTTTTACATTTATTTGAGGGAAGGAGGGCCAAGTGCATTGGTGGCAAAACAATGAAAAGGAAGAAAACAAACCTTGTATGTCATCAGGTCAGACAGCAACATCACATGCCTCCGGTCAATGCTCATACCATGGTTTACCATAGTGTACTGAATCTCATTGATGATGGTGGTCCGGGCAGCCTCAATGCCCAAGGTTTTCTCGACCTAGTCGATTAAATTATGTGGTTTAGGGAAGTGGCAAAACATTGATTCCACTGGCACATAAGCACTGTGATTTTCCAAAGCAACTCCTTCCCCCAAGCTACAATCATTCCCACATATTTTGGCTTAAAAATTGCCCTGGCTTGCACCCGAGCTTGCCCCTGCCTCCTTACAGGCAGTAGCTTCCAGTGGTAGCATTTTTCTTCATTATCACACTTAGGATGCCTATAGAATGCTGGTTTTGACCTATAAAGCCTTAAATGGCTCAGGACTGCAATACCTCAAGGACCGCCTCTTTCCATATGAACCTACCTGGACCATGAGATATCTTCTGAGGCCCTTCTTCACGCACCTCCTCCTCGAGAGGTGTGGAGGGTGGCAACACGAGAACGGGCCTTCTCTGTAGTGGCTCCCTGTCTGTGGGATGCTGTTCCCAGGGAAGTTCGCCTGGCGCCTTCATTATAGTGCCAGGCAAAAATGTTCCTTTTTAACCAGGCCTTTGGTTGATCTGATTGACAGCCAACGTCCTTTTAAAATGTGGCTTTGGGGGGGGAGCTATTGGGTTGTTGCTTTTATTTTTATTTTTATTTTTTTTATAAGATATTTATTAAGATTTTCAGAATATTACAAAACGAAACAAAAAAGAAAAGAGAAAAATATGTATTTTTCTGTGTTGCTTTTATTTTTAGTATGTATTTTGTGGTTTTATATCTGTGAACCACCCTGGGTATAGGGCAGTATATAAATTCAATAAATAATAATAATAACACTTTCTGAGTGTTCAGAGTGTTTCACTATATTACCTTGCTGCAATCTGTATTAACCCCATATTGTAGATTGGGGGGGTGGGGGAAAAGAAGTTAGTCTTGAGAGAACATGGCTTGCCTTAGACCACCTAGGACAGGGGTCAGCAAACTTTTTCAGCAGGGGGCCAGTCCACTGACCCTCAGACCTTGTGGGGCGGCCAGACTATATATATATATATATATATATATATATATTGGGGGGGAATGAATGAATTCCTATGCCCCATAAATAACCCAGAGATGCATTTTAAATAAAACGACACATTCTACTCATGTAAAAACATGCTGATTCCCAGACTGTCCGCAGGCTGGATTTAGAAGGTGATTGGGCCGGATCTGGACCCCAGGCCTTAGTTTGCCTACCCATGACCTAGGAAATTCATGGAAAAGGTGACATTTGAACCAAGAACTTCCACAGGCTCCATCACTCAACCACTATGCCACACACCACCAGCTCATATAGCCAATGGCCTCTTGATGGCTACCTCGTAAGTGTTGTTCGAAGTAGTCCTTGTTCCTTTGACTCCATGCGTGGCCATGACAGCTCGCAGGTTGTCACCTTCCACCAGCAGCTTGTACTTCTCCTTCCCACTCTGCTCATCGATATGAATGACAGCGCGAGACACTTCCGGGATACCCTGCACAACCACCTTTATGTAGGAAAGGAAATCAAAAAAAGTGTCTAGAAGACAGATACCCTGATAAATGCTTCTTGCTATAGACCAGATATCACAATCAAAACCCCACTCTTTGCCCTCCTTGCTCTTTCCTACAGTGACTGTTTAATATTGCCTAAACTGGAAGTGACGCACCTGTAGCCCTCCAAATGCAGGTGACTCCCAGCTCCCATCAGTCCCAAGCCTGCATAGCCTAATGGTCAGAGATAATGGGAACTGAAATCAAGCAACATTGGGATGACTATAGGTTAGCCTCCACCCCTGGCTCTTCATATTTGCTTGGGAGTTCCATGAATGTGTGTTGTGACTGTGAAGGAAAGCAGTCAGAACACTTGAAGGCAGGGTTCCACATAACTAAGGCTCACACTCTGCAACATAAAAACAGAATTCCTACAAAGGATGGACTTCAGGGACTATACTTCTAGCCTTTTCACTTGGCGTGTGCATTTTTGCAACCCAAAGAATATGCATCCGGCACAGATCAGTTTACTTCAATTAGGCACTCAACTGATTTTGTTACGTAGTTATTTGATTTCTTTATTGGAAAGGGAAGGAAATAGTTTGGCTTTGGTAGGGATCTGGCTGTTTTTGAAAGGCCAAGCTGTTTTCAATGCAATTGCAACCAAACAGAATCAGTTTCTTCAAACACCTCCTCCCACTGGTTTCTTCCTCTTCTCCCAGTTCCTGCATGCCACTCTCTGCCCTTCATTATTTTCTTGGCTCCTCTGCATCCTCTTCAAGGGTCCCCTTCTCCTGTACACCCTCTTTCTCTCCTTACCCCATTCCTCCCGCTCCTGTCTCTTCAGCCTGTCAGGCTCCCTTTCCTTTAGCAAACCTCAGCCCTGAGCTCTCTTTCCCTAAGCTTCCATCTATTGCTCAGCTTCTTTATGACATCATTCTTCTTTGTGACATCATTACTACTCAGCCAATGGGCACCAAAGGCTTCACTGCTTTGACAAAATAGTGAGTGTGCTCACTGTAATTAAGAGAAGCCACCACCTATCACCCCTTCAAGCAAATTCAAGCAAATTTGTGAAGTTATTCTTAAGAGGAACTTCCCAAAGAGCTTCAGTAAAACTAACTCGGTACCTTGAAGGTTTAGCACCTAATTTATTACAGTGAAAGGGAGGAATGAGCTAAGAGAAAGGCACGTTTGGCAAATCCTCACTGTGATCAAATCCCACCCAGAAACCTATGTCCCCACTATGAAGGGCTGTGTGGATCCAGAATTGGCCTCCACAGTAACTTACGGACTCACTGTTAATACCGTGTTCATGGAAGACAACCTTACTCAGCCATGAGTGATCACCAAAGAATTACACTGTGATCCCCAATATTATTTTTTGAATGACTGGAGACATTTTATTGTACTTTACTGTATGTGTGTGTGTGTGTGTGTATATATTATAATATAATATATATATATATTATATTATAATATATATAATATATATAATATATATATATATATTATAATTATAATATATATATATTATAATGCAGGTCATGGCTTAGGGAGCCTTTGGGCTGAAAAATGGTATGTAATAAAATCTGATCTCTCTCTACATATACATACAAACACACACAAAATATAGATCATGATATAAAATAGGCTCATCCAACAGCAAGAGGGCAATACCCAGATCCGCTTCTGTTAAATATGCACAAATTTATAAAGGTACAAGATGCCCAATATGTTTTCAAATTATAAAAGCTTCTTCGGGGGGAAAATGGAAAAAGTAAGAAATGAAACGGGGGCATTCTTAGCAGAGGATTTCAAGAATTCTCACACTAATGCAGTGAATCCTTTGAATGCTGTGATCTGAGCACATGCATTTGTTGCTGAGCATCACACGCGGAAGGTAGAAAGTTGGTAGCTTACTTTTGGTAGCTCTTCTTTCAGAGACTGCAAGACATAGTACATTGAACTCTTGCTGTTCTCTCGGGGAGTAACGCAGACAACGGCCTCACCGTGAACAGCTACATCCCCAGGCTTCACTCTCAGCTTCGAGACACAAATAGAATACCGCACAGTCTCCGCATTAACCTGTGTCACAAATGTCACTTTGTTATTTGCATAATTATTTCGACACTGGGCGCAGTTCCGCGGGCATGCAATTTGTTACACGGTGTCCAAAACACTAGTCTGGCAAAAGCTCTGAAAGCGATTATTTGACGGCCTTTGCAAGATGCTGCGATGTTCGCTACTGCCCAGGAGCCCCAAAAATATTCAGTTCTGAAATGTGTGACAGTTGAGGGGAATGTCCATTTCGGCCCCGTGCTACTGAAGACTGAGGGAGGCTTTGGGCGGCACAACTGATCCATACACTCTCTTTTTACATTTTCAATGTAATGTTGGAAGTAATGGCTCCCAGGTACGCTCCCCCCCACGCTCCTCAAGTTGGGTGCATGAATTACAGTCATTCTACATATTGCACAGATGTGCAACTTCAGACTGCAACTGGTTGTGCTGAGTGCCATTTCAATTGACCTCGTACAGATAAAAAGGATGTACTGAACTAAGAGAGGACTGCTCTAAACCTTTCTTCCTTATATGCTAATGTATTGTAAGAGAGGTCTTTTGACTACTCGCTCACATGAAAGTGGTACCTACAGCTGAAAAGGTAGAGGCTGTTTTACCACTGAAGGACTTTCCCAACTCATTCTGTGCCACGTGTAGCTTCAGCCTCAAACAGGGAAATTAACAGGAGGTCAGGACTCTCTAATTTCATCTGGCTAACACTGGTGATTGATTTGATTGATTGTATTTCTAGGCCACTTTTCATTCAAATGAATCTCAAAGTGACTTACAACCAATAAATAACCATAACATAATAAAACATAATAGCACATCGTGAATACAGCATACATCATATAAAATAATTAACAAATTATCAATAAAACAGTTGCAATCTATAAAAAACTAAACAAAACAGCAACTAAAAAATAAGCTAAATCTCACAATTATGGCAAGTCATGTGATTAACAATGCAGCATTTAGAATCTACAAAGCAATATTACAAACATTAACAAAATAGCAATTAAAATATAAGCTAAGCACTAAGTTCATTCACATAATCTCTGCACCCCCATGACTCATAACTTTTCACTCTGTTCAGTTCATTAAAATGCACACATGCACATCATGCCTATTGTTAAGCCAGCTCAGCCAGATGCTGTGCTGGCTGGGGTCCTCAAGTTGCAGGCCATGGTGGAGATGGTGGGGCTCTCAGGCCTACCACCAGTGGTAAGGTAGAGGTTGTCTCTGGGTAGCCTGCCTAGGCACTGTTGAGGAAGAACTTGCCCACATTGCTTTCAATAATCAGGAGGTCCATTCCCACTTGAGGAAGTCCAAGACAAGCCTGTCCCTCTGAAGCAGTGAGTGGCAACTGCATTTGGCACGGTAGATGCAAATAGAGGAGGAAAAGGTAAAGGTAAAGGGACCCCTGACCATTAGGTCCTGTCGTGGCCGACTCTGGGGTTGCAGCACTCATCTTGCTTTATTAGCCAAGGGAGCCGGAGTACAGCTTCCGGGTCATGTGGCCAGCATGACTAAGCTGCTTCTGGCGAACCAGAACAGCTCACGGAAACGCCATTTACCTTCCCACCGGAGTGGTACCTATTTATCTACTTGCACTTTGATGTGCTTTCGAACTGCTAGGTTGGCAGGAGCTGGGACCGAGCAACGGGAGCTCACCCCATCGTGGGGATTCGAACCGCCGACCTTCTGATCGGCAGGTCCTAGGCTCTGTGGTTTAACCCACAGCGCCACCCGTGTCCCTCCCTGCTCTGCCATGGACAATCTCTCACTGGACAATCTCTGGCTAGCCACTGCTTCGTAACCTAACCACCACGATTTGCAGCTGCTCGCTACCCGTTGCCATGTTTGGACCAACAAGAGAAGTGTAGTGGCAAGAGCAACCCAATGCTGTTGAAGAGAGTTTACTTGGGGCCATATGGGATCAGGGATTACAGCGGTGGATGAACTGTGGGGGCCCCTCAAGAGAGCAGAAATTGATGCATTATTTGGGTCTGAGACAATATTAGTGTTACATGCCCTAAAGAGATCAGTGCAAATCACTCCAGGAATTGCCTGCTCAGAATTTCATCAGAAATTTATTTAAAATATTGTCTGCGCAGCAGCTGCAAGCCAAGTTCGATGAGCCAGCTTACATGGTCAGAGTAATTACATGGTGCAGATTATTGTTAAGATGCACCACTTTGGACCACAGGTGTAAATGACATTTGGATGCTTCTGCATATGAGAAACAACAACCAGGCATTCTGGGGTTACGAATCCTGGTGCAGCTAGGGATGGAGGAAAATTTCATTTAGTCTGGATTTTCAAACAAGCTGACCTAATTCACACCTCCAGACTAACACGCAAATCGGAGTGCAATTATCCTTTGGATTTTGCATTTTCCCAAATTTTGCAACGCAGTTCTCATCTAAAAGGCATACCAACATACAGATTTCTATTTTATTATTCTGAAATATGCATGTTGATATAAACTACATATATACATATTCTGCATAGATATTCAAATATGAATTTAGATACTACAGTCGTACCTTGGAAGCCAAACAGAATCCATTCTGGAAGTCCGTTTGACTTCCAAAACGTTCGGAAACCAAAGCGCAGCTTCTGACTGGCTGCAGGAAGCTCCTGCAGCCAATCAGAAGCCGTGGAAGCCCTGTTGGATGTTCAGCTTCAAAAAATAGTTCACAAACCGGAACAGTCACTTGCGGGTTTGCGGCGTTCAGGAGCCAAAACTTTCGACTTGCAAGGCATTCGGGATCCAAGGTATGACTGTACTGTTCATGGGCTTTTTTTTTTTTTTTAAAGAAAATGCAGATTAACATGGAAAGGAATCAGAAGAGTTAGGGTTTTGTAGCTCTGTGGTAGAGCATCTGTTTTGCCAAAGGCTCCAGGTTCAATCCAAAGCATCTCCAAGTAGGGCTTTGATGTCTCCAGTCTGAAACTCTGAAGAGCTGCTGCCAATCGATGTAGACCTTACTGAGCTACATGGACCAATGGTCAAAGTCTCTATAAGGTAGCTTCCTATGTTCCTATGAATAAATGTGTGTGAAACTGATGCAGGGTGGAAATAGAAAGACAGCTAGACTGATCCATCTGCTCCCTGCTCACTTCAAATCTGGTTAGGGGGAAACTAGCAGGGAACATTAATTCTCTTTGAAAATGTGCATAGATGCATGCTGCAGAAGCAATTAACATATTGAAGGTACCACAGAGCAATAATGAGAATAAATTAAAGCACTACAGAAAAAGCCACGCTCATTTTCACTGCGGTATCTGCCCTGCCTGAAGGCACCCCTGTGGCAAATCAGTTTCTCGAACACAGTATCAGTGGGAGGGGGAGACACTCACTTCCAGCCTCAGCAGCCTAATCCGCTCTAACGAAAGCTTGACAAGAATGAAACAGTCATCAGGAAGGAAAACCTCTTCAATGTACTCCGAAATCTGAAAGTCAAAAAGAGAAATTCAACCATGCTCATTGTTTAATAAGCATCACAGCAGTGCAGAACCATAATGGGAAATATTGTATATTAAGCAACAATAAGGCACCGTCTACCTCTCCCAGTAGCGTCTTCTCTATTCTTCCTTTAACCAAACGGGCAAAGTCTGGATCATCATCCGTGTCAAGGTGGGCTGTGATAATTGGCGTACTATGGATAAGCAGCAAAAGCATATCGTTGTGAAAAGCCTACTGGTTTATTACCTTTACGTACCATGAACATTACTGATAATTCTATTTTATATATCGAGAACTAAACATTGTACGAAACAACTTATGATGCCCGTACGTTTAAAATCTAAAAAAAATCCATAAGCCGCATCTCTGCAGTTATCTGCTGTGGTGTTAACTCACTCTGCTGAAATTTGTTGCTTTCCCAAACCAATTATTTCAAGGATACTGAATCTTGCTCATAGCTTGGAAGACATAGCACAACACTTTTTTGTGAATGGAGGTTCCTCTTATGAGCCTTGACCTTGTTCACACAGTATCTTGACTTCGTTAATCAAGAGTCTACTAATTATAGTGCAATCAGCTACTAAATTGACCCCCTTTTTATCTTGCTGCCTTAGGTCGAGGTAGCAAATGGCAGGTACACTGTAACTTTTTAGGTTCAGTTATTTTTGTGCTTTGATCAACAGGAAGGCCTAAGAAATAACTCTCCACCTTAAAAAAAAAAGGGTCTCATTTTGTTGGATCAAGAGAGCAACAAATACATTGAAATAAATAAGAGCATTTAGCAGCCATCCAAGATAAGGGATATCATCCTGCAGCTTATTCCCCCCGCCCCACAGTAGGCAACTTGCAACCAGAAGTTGAGTTACTCAACTTGTTTGCTTTTCAGAAGACAAATGTTTGTGTCATAGGCAAGAATTACTGGATAGATCAAATGTTGTAGTTATCCTGTTCCTGTCAGTTTCTGTTTATTATACAGTAGTGCCCAGACTCTGACTCCAGCTAGCAAGTTGACAGAGAGAGAGAGAGACCTCCCTCCGTTATAATTAAATCTGCCATTCAAATATCAAGATGAGAATAAAATCTGGCTTCAGTACCTGATGGCTTTGGAGGCATTGATGATCTCTTTGATTCTCGGCACCCCTAGCGTGATGTTCATTGAGGCAACCCCAGCAAAATGGAAAGTTTTCAGAGTCATCTGTGTGCCAGGCTCTCCGATACTCTGAGCGCACAGAGCTCCCACTGCAGAGCCAGGTTCCATCTGTGCCCTGGGTTATAAAACCAAGAAAACTTTTGTATTTATTAATTTTCACACCTACGAGTCAACTCTAGAGAGTTCCTGGCTGAGCTGGCCTCTAAGGACCAAGATCCCCATTCTCTGTACTGGATAAAAAACCCCAAAAGGTTCAGTGTGGCACTATGAAATCATAAAACCCACTTCTTTAAACCCTGGTGGAAGACAAGAAGCTATGTCGCAGCCTAGGAGCACAGACAGCTCAAAATCTTTCCGTCACCTTTTTTTTGCGTTCTGAGAATTCATCAGGCACCGGCTGCACACTTTCAACTATATATTATATAATGGTCAAACACTCTATTTTAAGAAAGTGAAAGCACAGGTGTTCAGGAGAGCTGTGTATTTAATACACATTTTGTTTTTCTCCCTGATCCTTCAGAATCACAAAGTCCCAAGATCAGCTGCTTGAAACTGTTCCCTCATAAGCCTCATGGCATATGCCCCCTGTGCTCAGTAGACGGTACCATACTTCTAAAAGATAAAGAAGCTATTGCACTGCGCTGGAAAGAACATTACCAACATCTCCTTAACCGCACCCCCCCCCCCGTAGCTGCTGAGGTCCTCTCACAAATTCCGCAAAAACAAGTTAGAGATGAGCTTGCAGTATCTCCAAATCTGGGAGAGTTGTGTACAGCTATTACCCAAATGGAAAACAACAAAGCCATCGGACCTGATGGGATACCTGCCGAAGTCTTCAAAGTGGGCAGAACTGAACTTACACAACAACTTCAGAAGCTCATCGAAAAAATCTGGGAGAAGAGATCCCAGCAGACTTTAGGGATGCCAAAATTATGAATCTCTTTTAAAAAGGTGATAGAATGGATTGTGGAAACTATCGAGACATCTCTTTATTAGCTGCGGCCAGCAAAATTCTTGTAAGGATCCTAGCAAACTGTCTCTTAAGAATATCCAAGTCTACCCTTCCTGAATCCCAAAATGGTTTTCGGCCTTCTAGGGGGAGAGTGGACATGATTTTCACTGCTCAACAGCTTCAAGAAAAATGCAGAGAGCAAAACCAACCCCCGTATATGGCATTTTTTGACCTGACAAAGGCCTTTGACGATGTAAATCGTAATACCCTGTGGACTGTCCTTCTGAAAATTGGCTGCCCAGATAAATCTGTGAACATCCTTCAGCGCCTCCAGCAACAATCAGGGTCTCTTATATATAATTACCCTATTCTGAAATGCCTTCAAAGGCAGACAAAATGTTTTTTTACCCTATAATAAAACATATCAACCATTTGACAACAAATAACAATACGGAGACAGTGAACACTAGAAGCATCAAGGCTATGAACCCCATGACATGAAAAAGGTGTCTTATTATATCAACATGAGTTCATTTGGTAGATGAGATTCAATTGATGCCCTTACCAAGGTCACTGGACCAGCCCCGATCTGAATACTCCAATGAATATTATCAGCACTGTCGTTTTCTTGTGCACAGGCTAAGTGATCTCAGCCAAGGAGGTCAACATCAAACAATTATTTTAAATCCCATTTGTTAACCATCCTCATCTGGCAGGGCAAAGCTAAGGCTCCAAGATGCACAGAGTCACAGCAGCAATATGCTTAGTGAGAGACCTTATGCAACGAAGCAAGTAGAAGATCAGAGGACAGCTGTCACCCTTAGTTAAATCCCAGCGAAACAATCCTACGGCATATTATGGACCTTCTCTACATAAAGCAAATCAACTCACAGAGCAGTAACAGCCTCAAGACTAGTACTGTCTTCTTCCAGTATAAAAAAAGCCTCAGCCTTCTCAAAACCAATGTCACGATTCAGGATAAAGGCAGTTCGGAAACAAAGGTAACTTCCTTTCCACTGATGCCGAGACAGAATATTTAGATTGGGGGCGTGTGTGGAATCAACCCACCCCAAAATATCCACTCCATGAGGGCTGGGAAGGGAAATTGCTTCTCCCAATAGTCCTGTTTTTTGGTGATCTTACACACAAGTAAATTCATTCGCAATTCAGTGTTTTATGTGCCCCTTTGCTGCTTCTGCAATACATTTTCAATATGGTTTTAGTGCTTCTGTTCCTCATAGAAGTTGTTTTTATGTTGTTATGGGCTAAAAGCTAGACATTTGAAACAAGCATTATTCTTATACAGTATACCTCCTATTACAAAACCTAAATGACCGAGAAACCATAGGCACAACATGCTTAAACTTAATAGTTTGCTTAGTGGGATTTATTATTAGTTAATGCAGCAGCCGTCCATAGTTGGAGAACTTGAGGCCCAGGATAATTTCAGATCTCCTTCCGTTTCATAATCTGGAGCCTTCCGAGTTTGCTACTGCCTGGTGAAAGGCAATCAGCACACCCAAAGGCAAGACTATTTATAGCGTTTCACTGCAATGCAGAGATGGGGAAACTGAGGCCCTCCAGATGTTAATGGACTTCAACTTCCATTAACACTGCCAATGATCAGGGATTATGGGAGCTGCGTTGCAGCAGCATCTAGAGCAGGCATCCCCAAACTCGGCCCTCCAGATGTTTGGGACTACAACTCCCATCATCCCTAGCTAACAGGACCAGTGGTCAGGGATGATGGGAATTGTAGTCCCAAAACATCTGGAGGGCCGAGTTTGGGGATGCCTGATCTAGAGGGCAGCAGGACCCCCATCTCTGCAACTGTCGTGTTTCATAATTACTGTTCAATCCAATTCAAGCATCCAATGTAATAATATTTTTTAAAATATATACTGTAATAATAATAAATTTGAATGTCATCCAGGAAATGTCCTGCTATATAATACCCTTGGTTTCAGTAGTAGTATTACTGGGAAATCTCAGGTGCTTGCATTTATATTATGTTCGACTGCAAGGACTAAAACGTGTGCTTCATACTACTGGAGAAATCATAAGCACAAAAAATTACGGTGGGTGGGTGGGGTGAAGGTGGATTCCTCTAACGCAGTGGTTCTCAAATTTTTTTTCTCTGGGACGCACTTTCAGAGGAAAAAATTGCCCAATTTTTTTATTGGTAAGAAATACATTGGGAAACAAAACAACTCCCAGCAATGCTTGATTTGTAATACAAAACACAACTACTTTACAATATGATCACAGGACATCCGGAAAACAGAAATCATTATGGCTACACAAGAACATGAATTATTCCCAAAATATAATACTGATTGTCCTTGAATCTTTCTGCCACACTTGCCATCCTGTCCTGCCCATCACCCTTTAAGAACCACTGACCTAATGAGTCCCGTCAGTGCAAGCCATGCGTGAAGGCTTCTGCAATGGGGCTTCCCCCTTCCGCTCCCCCCCCCCATGGCTCTGGGGGTTGGGAGAAACCCCAGAACAATGTAATTGTGGGTGGGGGGTGGGGAGGAAAGGGATGATCCTTTAGTCTGGTACCTCGGGTTACATACGCTTCAGGATACATACGCTTCAGGTTACAGACTCTGCTAACGCTGAAATAGTGCTTCAGGTTAAGAACTTTGCTTCAGGATGAGAACAGAAATTGTGCTCCGGCAGTGCGGCAGCAGCAGGAGGCCCCATTAGGTAAAGTGGTGCTTCAGGTTAAGAACAGTTTTAGGTTAAGTACGGACCTCCGGAATGAATTAAGTACTTAACCTGAGGTACCACTGTAGTAAGTATGCAAGGAATTTAACTATGTATCAGGGGAGATGGGCAACTTTGCAATAAATCTGAGGGAAGCTGGTCATTGCTATATTAGCATGAATCATGTAACAATTGCAGAGCCATTACTACTTTTCTTTTTAGCTATATTGACACTGAGACAAACATCTGAGGGAGAAACTGAACTTTGGCTAAAACTTGCCTCCCGCTTCAGACCTCCTAAGTTCTGCCCGAGAAGCAGGAGAATACTTTCTATCAGTTTCTCACCTACTTATAATCAGATTTGGCTAAATCAGTTCAAATGACATTCACTCCTACCCGGGTGTGTGTGTGTGTGTGTGTGTGAATTATCCATACCTCATATACTTCTCTCTACAGGTCTCGAGAAACTTCTCCAGCTGGGTTGGAGTAATCCGGTCCAATTGGTACAAAACATACGGCTGAAGCAATAAAGAGCCAGAATAGTTAGGAATTTAATTCAATAGACAGGGCATGTATTATGCATTCCCCTAGTGCACAGTATGAAAACACAGAGGAAAAAACCAACAGTGATATTCACTTCTGTTCCCCCCTTCCCTGCAGTAAGCGAGATAATAAGTTATGGAATATGTTTAAGCCGCAGCTGTTATTCAGTACATATATCCAGAATCATTGCAGGTTAAACTCTAAGGATTGGGTTTTTGTTTTTTTTAATGAAAGAATTGTATTGAGTTTCCGAATCTCCCTGCTTCAGAAACAAGTGTAGGACGAGGTTGCTGCAGATTATTAGACAAGGTGCAACACTTTGTCCACTATTATGAAACGACAGTGGGCATGGGCAGTTCTGGCAGAGATACCAGGTATGGGAATTAAGGGTGTGTTACACAAGCTTACATGCAAAAAATAGTGCCCCTATCTTCATCTGTTAAAGGGTATGGAATCAGCACACAACCCACAAGCGACATTACCTCTGTTGTGCCGTTGTCATTAATGCCATACTTGTCCCTGGTTTTCTTGATCTTCTCGGACATAGCTTTGATGAATTTTTTAATTTCCTGCAACAACAGCAAAAAATAAAATAACATGCACGTTTTAAGGCTTCTCCGCCTTATATTCTGCAGCCTGGCTACTAAGGAGACTCTTAGCTTATAAACATCTGGCAGTATTTTGCATTAGTAAAAAAGACGTAAAGCATAAAAGTGACTCAAAAATGCATGTCATGCCACAACTGCACACTTCAAGTTGCTTTTGGAAAGCAGTTGAAATAGCTACCTGCCAAGGAGCAATAAAGTGATTACAGATGTTCTCTCTGCTAGAATCTTGGGGACTTTTCTGACTTTATATACATCTCACAAAGCTGAGAGAGGCAGGGAAAGAAGGAGGAGGAGATTCTGGAATATTTCTCTTATGGCAAGATTTCTCTAACATACAGAGACCTGGGAACCTGTATCAACAGAATGCAAAAAGCAGATGCACAAAATTCAGTCGGACTGGCGGAGGGGGAGGACACCAGAAAGGAGCAAGAGATAAGAAGGTGTGTTTGGAGGAGCTTCTCTAACCTGACTGAACCCCAAGATCATCCTTTGAGGCTCTTCTCTCTTTGCCACCTACATAAAGGGTCCAAAGAACAGGCTTTTTCTGTAGTAGCTCCTGGGCTATTGCATGCTCTCCCCAGGGAGACCTGCTTGGTGCCAATTTTGTTGCTATTTCGTTGCCAGGTAACAACATTTCTGTTTTCCTGGGCATTTGGGTTGCACCAATGACCAGATATTTTGCTCTAATTATGTTGTTACCATGTTTAGAGGCAGTAATCAACGCATGTGTCCTGTCGGCACAAGGATTTCAGATTGCACAAAGGGACTTTCCCCACACGTCTCCCTCCACCCCACAACCTTGCACCCTCCCCAAATCTGCTCCATAGAGCCAGGGGAATCCCATAACAAGCTGGGGGAAGAGAGTGTGGACGTTTTGTTGTGCAAGCAGAAATCCTTGAGCTGATGGAACGCTCACATAGTCTTCCTTTGGATACAACTGTGTGTATTTTCCACCGCATCCCTGTATTTTACTCCTTTAAAATGCTTCAGGATTGTCCACTGTGGGAAGTAATGCATGAATTTAATAAACTAGCTACGAGAACTCAGGGTCATCCTGTTTTGGGCCAGGCAATATTCATTTGGCTGCTAGCTTAAGATAGAATTAAAAGGGGAAGGGGGGGAAATCATGGATTTTAAGGGCATCAGTGGCTTCTAGCAAGAAGTCTATATGCAGCCTCCAAATTCAGAGGTGGTATGTCAGTGAATAAGTGCTGATGAGGGGTAACAGGACTGGCCCGTTGCCTTCATGCTCTGCTTGGGGGCTTCCTGGAGGCAGTGGATTAAATCACAGTGGGAAGCAGGACACAGGACAACATGGACCTGCAGTCTGAAGCTCTGATGCTTTTTTAGCCAACTTGGGTTATGAAATGGTGCCTTTTTTTTTTTTTAAAGGGCCAGTTCTCTCTCAGCTTATCATTACATTAATGATCCCTGCTCATATACAGGACTGGTTAGTGTTACAAAATGAACATTAAAACATGTACGCCATCATTTATATACTCCCCCACTCCGCCATTAAGTGTATAAAGCACTTTGCATGCATTTTCAATCTAACCACCACCCTGTTATAAGGTTGACTACCCCAGAAAGTCTTCCGTCAAAAAAATGATTGTCTTTGAAAAGGCACTACCAAAGCCAGTGAAAGTCACAGTGAAATGTGTTCTTTTGCACCGAGTTATTTTCTCAGCTAACAGACAAGTAACAGTGCAGCAGAGCAAGATTTGAAGAGGGTCAAAATACATTTCAGCAGTTAGGCTGCAATCCAGAGGGCTGCGAAAAGGAGTTTACAGTGTCTGCTATGCCAAAGTAATACTCAAGTTCAAGGGAGCATGTGCATATTGTGCTTTGCGTGTAATGGCAGTGGCAACCCCAGGCACTTGTAGAAACCAAGTTTCGGAGTTCTTGCAAAAGACAGACATTCCACGAAGAAGAAAAAAGCAAGCTTTCCCTGGCTCATTATTGTTTCAATATACCTTGTCAACAGCCAGAAATGTTTCCCATAGGACAAAACGCTGACCTCTGCTACAATGGAGAATGTCCTCAGATTTCAATGTCAGACCCATAAGTTCACTCAATTACCGTATTTTTCGCTCTATAGGACGCACCCGACCATAGGATGCACCTTGTTTTAGAGGGGGAGAACAAGAAAAAAAAATCTCCCCCTCTCTGCGCAGCGTCCCTTCAGTGAAGCGGCAGGAGAAACGGAGCCCCTTCCATTTCTTCTCCTGCTTAGCTGAAGGGGCGCTGCACCTTAGCTGAACGGGCACCTACCCTTCAGCGAAAGGAACCCAAAGCCTCCAGAGCGCAGCAGGAGCTCCGGCTGCACTCTGGAGGCTTCAGGCGGCTATCTTTGAAGCCTGGAGAGTGAGAGGGGTTGGTGCGCACCGACCCCTCTCGCTCTCCAGGCTTCAGTGAAGGCAACCTGAAGCCTCCGGAGCACGGTGGGAGTTCCCGCTGCGCTCCGGAGGCTTGGGGTTCTTTTTGCTGAAGCCAGGAGAGTCTTGCTCTCCAGGCTTCAGCGAAGGGAACCTGAAGCCTCTGGAGCGCAGCGGGAGCGCTCCCACTGCGCTTCGGAGGCTTCGCGTTGCTATCACTGAAGCCAAGGAGCCTGCATTCGCTCCATAAGACACACACACATTTCCCCTTAATTTTTGGAGGGGAAAATGTGTGTCTTATAGAGCGAAAAATACGGTACATATTCAAAAAGTAGAGGAGCAAGTATAACTGCTGCATCTACTGTAGTTTCAGAAAATGTACTTTAAAGTTAGCCTAGCAACAGTGGAGACTTAGAAATGCCCCCCACTGACTGACACGATAAGGCCATCACCACTTGGTTCCCTCAGCAACTGCTGAGAATAGTTTGCAGCTATTCTATTGGGGTTTCATTCTCTCGTCTGGTTTTTTTTTTTTGGTGCCTCTGCTATCACCTGTTGTGAAGAAACTACATTTTTGATGAGGTACAGTTTAAATGCAAGAATACTGTGATAATAGGGACACACACAAAGTATGAAAAATTGTAAATGCGCAAAGAGGGGGAAAACACCAGCCATTTACTCTTGGCTAGAGCCAGAAAGGTAAACATTATATGCGAGTTCAGCTGACAGTCTGCCAAGTAGCAGTTAGAACTGTCAGTGTTGCTAAGGGGAGGTAACTATGTAAAATGTGAGGTTTCAATTAATCAGTGCACCTCAACCTTTATGCATCAGGCAGGAGCATCCAAAATGAGTCTGTTTATGATTGGCCCCTTTGTGAAAATTCCTTCCCAACAACGGACCGCAGTTATAGGCCAATGAGCATTCAGAATTTCAGTGCAAATACACGGGTTGGAGATTTCTAGCTGGTGTGGAATGTGGAAGCAGATTCAGCACTCGGGGGGGGGGACCTGTGGCGTTTTGCCGCCTGAGGCAAAACGGGATGGTGGTATCCCACTGCCAAAGCGCCCCTCACCTGGCTTGTGTGGTGGCACCTGTGAAGCAGCGATGGGCTGCAGTGAGATCTCACGGAGCACACGAGATCTCCTGAGATTTCGGCGACGTTTCGTCGGAAGCCGCTTCTCTACTGGTGGCCGAGGGGGGACCACCTCTTGGGATTCTGATACCCAAGGCAGCTGGTTCAGCCTGCCTCATGGGTGGGCCGGCCCTGTCACACTCTTTGGGGGGTTTAGTTGTGGAAGCTGAGTCAAGAAATGACTCTGAAGGAGGAAGAGGAAGCCTGGAGAGAGAGACTGAAAGCAATAGCAGCAACAGTTGGGGAGGAGGAAGAGTGAGAAGCTCATGCGAGAGCTGAAATCACTGATGGCAGAAGCTAAGGCGGTCCAAAAGTGAGAAGAAACCTCCAGCAGCAGCCTTCGGGAGGGCTCAAGCCAGCAACTGGCAAATTCCTGACCAGAGAGAAGACTTCCAGTGAAGTCCTCTGAATAAACTTGTGAGTTAACTGAGGTGGAGATAAGCAGGTAATTGGTTAATGGTTTCATGTAAGGATTAGAACAAGTTCATGGGAATCTTCTTAAAGCAACACTAACACTGTTACAGTTAATGTACTATTTTCTCCAATCGGTAGGGATATCTGATAGTATAATACTTTGCTGTCTACCAATAAGCAAATCCATTATATTATGTTGTAAATAAGCATTAATGAACTCTCTTTAATTCTCAAACATGAAATTCTTGAGCTGTCTGTCCCATACATATACCCAACAACAGTGTGCGAGGGATTGTTAAAAAAATTGAGTAAGGTATTGGGTGGAAACAATGGTGCAAACAGAACTCTAAATAAAAAGACCAGGCTCCCTTAATATAAGATATATGTGGTGAGGATTCATCAGGGAACCTTACATGTACAGACTATTTGAATAATTTTAAAAATAAAACAACATGAATACAGTGGTACCTCAGGTTACATATGCTTCAGGTTACATACGCTTCAGGTTACAGACTCTGCTAACCCAGAAATAGTGCTTCAGGTTAAGAACTTTGCTTCAGGATGAGAACAGAAATCATGCTCCAGCGGCGCGGGAGCAGCAGGAGGCCCCATTAGCTAAAGTGGTGCTTCAGGTTAAGAACAGTTTCAGGTTAAGTACGGACCTCCGGAACGAATTAAGTACTTAACCTGAGGTACCACTGTACAACATTATATACAGCAGAGGCTTTGAAGGGACAGACTGAATTGCTGCAACACATTCTATGTGTGGCTTCACTTGCGCTTGATCCAGGAGCTAGTGCAGAATGCTGCAGTACGATTGCTGAAACGAATGAGGACTTGTCAACGTAGAACATCTGCGCTGGTTGCTGATTTTCAAGGTGTTACTATTAGCATATAAAGCCCTTAACCACTTGGGAACAGTTTATCTCCGAGATCACCTGAGCACCCACATATGTCCACTTGACCACTTTGATCAGCAGAATTGGCACTACCTACAAGCAAGAACCCCATAATGCCTGTTCCGCAAGTGTAAGAACTCAATGGTTTAGTGCGGCAACACCTATGCTTTGAAACTCCCTGCCTAGTGAGATCAAGCAGGCACTGTGCTCTTTTTGGTGCCTGCTAAAAACATTCTTTGTAAGACAAGCCTACCCAGTTACTTAAGAGTTTTGTTTTAGTCTACTGTTGCTTAACTTCTTGTCTGTTTTGTAAACCTTTACTGTGATAATATCATTGTTTTATCTTCTTTGTAAACTGTTTTGAGGTTTTTCCTACAATCAAGCAGTGTATGAGCTTTATGAAATGAATAAATAGTAAACCTCCAAAACATGTGTTTGTGATGTTCTGTTCTGCTATTGTTATTTATCGTTTGTAGGCTGCTTTGCGATTCACTTGAATTAAAAGTGGCATAGAAATATGAATCAAATCGACTCAAACAGCTGATGGATCAATATTGATAGGGAAGTAGCCTCATCAGTCAGGCTCCCAAATCGTCAGGAATTTGAGGTAAGCAAACTGAAGTCTTTTGGACTGGGGCTCTGTTTCTCCAGCTGCACTTCAGTGAACCTCTCCTGCTTTTCCTGATTACAGTGGAACCTCGGGTTACGTACTGTCCTCCTTACAAATGCTTCGGGTAATGAACTCTGCTAACCCGAAAGTAAATACCCCTAGTTGCGAACTTTGCCCTGGGATGCGAGTGGAAGTTGAACACTGGTGGCATGGCAGCAGCGGGAGGCCCCATTAGCGAAAGCGTGCCTCATGATAAGAACGGTTTCAGCTTAAGAACAGACCTCTGGAACAAATCAAATTCGTAACCAGAGGTACCACTGTATTCTGAAGTTACTTCTTGTAGTCAACAAAAAACTTTTCTTGACACAGCAGGACTTTTGAGGGTGAGATGGGAGCCCCCGGGACTCTGGAAGGTGGCTTGGGTGGTGCAGAGTAGAACAGCATTCAGGGAGAGGGATTACTAGATCTGAATGAAAGGAGGAAAGTTCATGGAAGGTGTGTGTTCAGTGCCTTATTGATCCTCGTGTTGCAGGGAGAATCCCAAAGGTTGGGGAACTGAGGAGTTGGCAGTAGAACCAAAGGGCTGTCCAAGAACGGTGGCAAGAGGGAGGTGGTGGATGGAAGTTCCAGCACCAATGAACATATGAACTGGGGGTTAGTAACACAAAACAGTTTCAATTCCAGAAGCGTCGCCACTATAAAGTTCTACACAGTGCACACACATGCTACAATTACCTCATTGTACACTGCATAACCTGTTTCAGTAAACGCCTTCAAGAAAGAACAAGAAAAAAACAAAGTAATAGGTATTTTGCTGTTATTGAAATAAACTAGTCATAGGATAGCACACGTTAATGTACTTTCTGAACCAAATCCCTGCTACTGCAAACCAATAATTATGCCAGTCACGGAAAATCAAAGCAACAGAGTCCTGGCTCATATTTACAAGAAAGTGCTGCCTTTAAAAGTGAATATTTAGGCACCTCATCAGTTCCTAACCGGCAAATAAAAACAATTCCTCAGAAGGCAGAGCACAAACACCTGAATTTTAACCCAAAATCTGTCTATTTAACAACTGAGATGGTGCTACCGAAGCAGAAAACAGGTAAGATTACTGAATCGTGCTGCTTTGTGTTCTGGGGAGAGCAGTTTGTAAAGGACTAATGATCGTGTGAAAAAGAAAACGACGCAAAGACCTCACCTGTAGGAAGCTGTCCTGGCAGCAAAGGAATTCGTTCTTCTTCATGATGGATTCAGCAGTTAACACCAATTCATTTTTACTAAGTGCTGGCTCACTTCGGCTTGGATACACTGCCTTAAACAACAAAGTAGTACACAGACACATTACAAGGGCCTTTTCAATTTAATTCCTTCAGACAATTTAATATGCTTTCAAACTGGATGTGCCCAACTCTCCTCCCGCTTTTTAATCAAATCCTATCATTTAGGGCAAAAAGCCCAATTCTTACAAAGATCCCCAGTCTCCATTAGAATCATATAATTGTACAGCTGGAAGGGACCTGAGGATCAACCCCCTGAAATGCAGAAATATGCAGCTGTCCTACACAGGGAATCGAACCTGCAACATTGGCGTCAGTAGCCCCACACTCTAACCAACTGAGTCATCCAAGCTCAAAGACAGATGAAAGAAAACAGATACAAGATTAAGAATTCTGTAGCATATTTAATTGGTAGATGCTGAAACGAGGACTGGAAGGTCCATTCACTAAAATCCAACAGGAAGATTTCCTTCAAGCTTTGTAGTGAAGGAATGACCTTGGCTGTTCCAGTGGAGTAGGGATGACATGTCTAGGTCTTACGTCCTGACCTCACTCTGACGCACAGACCGAGTCCAGGAACAGCGCCAGAGTGTGTTCTTGGAGTTGGTGACCTCTTGCTCCAAGATAAGAGTGTAGGAAGGAAAACCCTTTTATGGTCAGGAGTACAGGAAGGCAATCCCGTTTATGGTTAAGAGTGCTGGAGCAGGAACATCTGTGATGTCAACCTGCGTGTACAAGCTGACGTGGCTGGATTCCTGGGGAAGGGGGAGAGGGTGCCTGGAGGATATATACACTGCATGAAATTTCTCATTTCTTTGGACTTGCTGTGGACTGACCACGCGAGTGCCTTTCTGCTGCTCCGGAGAGCAGAAATAAAGAACTCTTTCTCTGAACCAACCCTTGGTGTCATTTGACTTCCTTCCTCCCGTCCGGGAGCAACGCAGAGCCCACCAATCGGTAAAGTCTAATAAGGCTACAGTAGTATGTTGACATTTATTGATACCGTTTTAAACTTACTCTGATGTTGTCCAGGACACGCTTGAACTCCAGAGGTTCATCTTTTCCCTCCATAGCTGCAGGATCTAAGCCATCTCCGCCATAAATGAACTGTATGATGTCACCGGTAGAACTCCTGACAGTCAGGTCATACTGTGAGCACAGATCTTCAAGGGATTTTACCAGCCGTCTCTGGGAAGCAAGGGAAGACAACTCCTTCAGGACCAATCTAGTAATGCAGTTTACAAAACTTCTAAAATGTGGGTGAGGTGGCCAATTCACACTGCCAAACGCAGGATGAGCAACTGTGCTGCATTTTGAGAGTCATTACAGGTCTGGAAATACAACCCGTGGTGTAATAAATAGGAACCATTGCAGTCCAGTACACTGAAAGTCCCCCTCCATTTGAATCTTTTAAGGGAACATTTCAAACACTTAATATTGTATTAAAGGCATTCAAGGTACATAGAATCATAGAATCATAGAGTTGGAAGAGACCACAAGGGCCATCGAGTCCAACCCCCTGCCAAGCAGGAAACCCCATCAGAGCACTCCTGACATATGGTTGTCAAGCCTCTGCTTAAAGACCTCCAAAGAAGGAGACTCCACCACACTCCTTGGCAGCAAATTCCACTGTCGAACAGCTCTTACTGTCAGGAAGTTCTTCCTAATGTTTAGGTGGAATCTTCTTTCTTGTAGTTTGGATCCATTGCTCCGTGTCCGCTTCTCTGGAGCAGCAGAAAACAACCTTTCTCCCTCCTCTATGTGACATCCTTTTATATATTTGAACATGGCTATCATATCACCCCTTAACCTCCTCTTCTCCAGGCTAAACATGCCCAGCTCTCTTAGCCGTTCCTCATAAGGCATCGTTTCCAGGCCTTTGACCATTTTGGTTGCCCTCCTCTGGACTCTGGTACAATTATTGAGGTATTGCTGCCTGGTTTGGTTTGGATAAATCTCATTAAATGTTCTTTATCAAAGTCTCAATTTTTAAAAAGCAGATTATTTGAAAAAAATGCATTCCATCCCATATTTCGAAGCATTGAAGGGATGTAGAAGGGATGAAGGCAGGACCAAGCCATCTTTTAAAGAAGAAGAAGAAGAAGAGGAGGAGTTTGGATTTGATATCCCGCCTTTCACTCCCTTTAAGGAGTCTCAAAGCGGCTAACATTCTCCTTTTCCTTCCTCCCCCACAACAAACACTCTGTGAGGTGAGTGGGGCTGAGAGACTTCAAAGAAGTGTGACTGGCCCAAGGTCACCCAGCAGCTGCATGTGGAGGAGCGGAGACACGAACCTGGTTCCCCAGATTGTGAGACTACCGCTCTTAACCACTACACCACACTGGCTCTCTAAAAGTATGATGGGTTTTTTTTTGGGGGGGGGGGATAATCTGAAGTTTTGAGCTCCTTTGCTACGTAGAATTCAGCTGATGAGACAAAAATCCTCTCATATGAAACAGCCTCTCATAGGTTTCCAAAGGACTACTTAGCTGGTTAGCTGCAAATAGAAAGAATTTGCAGCAACCAGACAGAAAAAATGGATAAAATGAAAGGAGTCTGGTCTCTTTCTTTCTAGTCATGAACACGTTACTACACTGGTGAATATAGACAGCTTGCAATAAATGTTTGCTGTTTTTGCAAGGCTGCCCCTCATGGTAAAAAGACAAATCGGACATAAAGGGAAGACCCACAAAATTTCCTACAATCACAATATATGTCTACAGATATAGGAATCTTTCTATAGATGTAGTAAAGACATTTCTAGAGATACAGGATTCCTTCTTCATCATAATAATTGAACCTTGAGGAAGAATGAGGCCACAAACTGGGAGAGGAATGCTAGTTATTTTCTTGACTTAGGTAAGGAAAATGAACCTTTACATGTAACGGATAGGAATTGCTCATGAGTGTTCTGCTACACTAACATGGTCTCCTCCCATAGGAAAGTATCCCCAAGTTACCTGCATGTATCCCGTTTCAGCTGTTTTTACAGCAGTATCAACCAGGCCTTCTCGACCAGCCATGGTGTGGAAGAAAAACTCAGTGGGCGTCAAGCCAGAATAGAAGCTGTTGGCAACAAAACCTTTCGCTGCTGGAAGCTGCAAGAGGGGAGAAAAAGACCTGAAATGTGCTGCAGTAGAAAATGCACTCACAGTCAATGAGGTGCAGTGGTCAATAATATCAAAGTAGGACCGGGGAGACCCAAGTTGCACACTATGAAGCATCCTGGGTGATGTTGGGCCAGTCACTGTCTTTCACTCCAACCTACCTCTCAGGGTTGCAGTAAGAATAAAGAGAGATGGGCAACCATACATGCCACCTTTAGCGCCTTGTTAATTATATATAAATTATAATAAACAAACATGCAAACCATGATAACACTTTCAGACTTCATATACCGTATTTTTCCATGTATAAGGCAACCCCTATTTTTTGGGAGATGCGGGTGGCGTTGTGGTCTAAACCACTGAGCCCCTTGGGCTTGCTCATCGGAAGGTCGGTGGTTTGAATCCCTGCGATAGAGTATGCTCCCGTTGCTCTATCCCAGCTTCTGCCAACCTGGCACTTTGAAAGCATACCAGTGCAAGTAGATAAATAGGTGCTGCTGCAGCAGGGAAGGTAAACGGTGTTTCCGTGCACTCTGGTTTCCATCATGGTGTTCCGTTGCGCCAGAAGCGGTTTAGTCATGCTGGCCTCATGACCCGGAACAACAGCAACAACACAATTTATTATTTTTACCCGCCCATCTGGCTGGGTTTCCCCAGCCACTCTGGGCAGCTTCCAATAGAACACTAAAATACAATAACCTATTAAACATTAAAAGCTTCCCTAAACAGGGCTGCCTTCAGATGTCTTCTAAAAGTTTGGTAGTTATTTTTCTCTTTGACATCTGGTGGGAGGGCGTTCCATAGGGCAGGTGCCACTACCGAGAAGGCCCTCTGCCTGGTTCCCTTAACTTGGCTTCTTGTAGTGAGGGAACTGCCAGAAGGCCCTCAGTCCTGGACCTCAGTGTCCGGCTAGAACGATGGGGGTGGAGACGCTCCTTTAGATATACTGGACTGAGGCCATTTAGGGCTTTAAAGGTCAGCACCAACACTTTGAATTGTGCTCAGAAACGTACTGGGAGCCAATGTAGGTCTTTCAAGACAGGTGTTATATGGTCTCGCATTTCCCGGAAAGCTGTCTGTGGACAAACGCCTGGCTCCCTTGCCCTGAAGCGAGATGAGCGCCACAACCCCATAGTCGCCTTTGACTGGACTTAACTGTCCAGGGGTCTTTTACCCTTTTACCTTATTTTTTTAAATACAAAATTAAAAAATTGGGCTAGAGCCAGAACCACCCGCACCAGAGCCCAAACCCCTGTGCATTCACCATCTGTGTATAAGACGACCTCCAATTTTTGACTAATGTTTTTAAGCAAAAAACAAAAACAAAAAAATCTTATACATAGAAAAATACAGTATTACAGTTACGATAATATAGCTATTATCTTTACAGCTGTTATCTGTACCTCTTCAAGAAGTGCTGCATGAACAGATGAAATTATCAGCTCTAGAAAATGTGAGAACTCATCTCCTAGGAGTGCCAGCGAGGTCAAGAAAGGATGGAGGGGTGGCCCTTTTGCACACAGTAAAATATCCTATAGTAAAAGCTCCACTCTTACCAAAATATTTCCTACAGGTTAACAGTTGTTCACAGAATTGCTTTCCATAGCAACGATCCAGCGTGATTGCTAAACTTCTTGGAATTCCTTCGCCACAGGCCGATTCCCAACATTTACGTCCTGTATTTACTCCTTACACCAAGGGTGGAGAACTGATGGCCCTCCAGATGTTGCTCGATTCTAGCTCTCATCGGTCCAAGCCAGCATGGCCAAGAGTGAAGGATGAATGGAGTCCAGAATATCTGGCAGTACCCCCCCCAACTTCCTTGCTTTTAGTTCACCAATTCCCGGTTGGCTCTAGGGGATTCCAATTCCAGTACAAGAAGCCACAGGCCTCTCTGCTTCCCAGGGAGTGGGAAAGAGAACTAGCTGTAATAGGCAACACAGAGGAGGAGAATGCTCTAAATTTGATGCCTGCCAACTGGCGGCTGGGGAGAAGCAAGAGGAGCGAGAGGGAGAAGAGACCAATATCTGGGCAAGTTGCCCACTGGAACTGTTACATCCTTATGGAGTTAAACTCCAGTGGTCTAAAGCAAACGACTCAGCTTGTTCAATTGAATTAAGAGCAAATTATTTCAGGTCTTGGTCCTTGTAGCAACCCTATGGGGTAGGTCATTTATATTATCCTGAAAGTGCAAGGAGGAGTGGGGGAGCAGAGAGGGAGGTTTTCTCAAGGCCAACTAGTCTGTGAGTTCGCAGCAGTCAAGATTTGAACCGCTCAGACATTACATCGCACTAGAAATTCCGCCTTCATTTAGTATTCAAACCCACACCTCCCCATTTCATAAGGTCATTTAGGTCCCGCAATGCTAGTCACCTTGGAATGTTTCTTAAAATGAGGCAAGGATCGGTTCTCAAAGCCGTCAGGCACGCGTGAGCCACTGATAGCCTGCTGTCCTACGCAAGCAATCATCTGGGAGATGTTAATGAAGGAGCCTAAAAAGACAACGCCGCAAAGAAAGAGGTAGGTCACATCTTGCCTTATGTTCCAAAGCAGCATACTGTGATGGAGGTCTGCCCCACTCTACTTTACTTGTATGTGCAAATTCGCTTTTTCAAAAAATAAAGTTTTTTTAAAACTTTTCACATTACAACAAAAAAGACAAACTAATCTAAACCAAAACTAGTAAAAGAAATAAAAGAGAAGGTGCGTGCACATTTTCAAAATCTGGAGCAGATTATGAGGGTGTGCAGGAGAGAGTGCAAAATTTCTGTGGCACAATTGAAGTGGCAGCACTGGATACAACCCACTGTAGAAGTGCCCCATTATTTATGAATCACTTTGGGCTTGCATTTAATGTAGATCTGTGCAAAAAGCTTTAGTACTCATTACCTTTTTTTAAAAAACACACACGAAGTGCCCAAAATGGAATTCTTATCCTATCAGAATGCCAACGGGGAGTATTTGGTTTGATTGCACCCTCATAGGAAGGGCTGGCACTCAACATGCCAGTTCAACCAGAGCTGGAGAACCAGTTTGCAATGTTGCATGGGCAAAAAAGGCAGACAAAATTCCCACTCATACATGACAGCCCAATGAATTAAGAACAATCTATCTAGAGTTGGACAGAGAGTAAACAACTGAACGCAAAATTAAGATGCAGCTGCTTCGTCTTTAAGCAACTGTGCTATGTAGGAGGTACAGAAATGACGTGGGAAAGTTTCCGATTTAAAATGTGGTGCTGCCATGTAAAAACCAGAAGCAAAACTTACCTGTGCAGTGTTTCACGCTGCTAGCATGCCATTTAAGCCAGCCTCCACAATGCATAACATTGGCATGCTAGTATGATCTTTGCCCACACCACTGATCTTTGGTTGCTAACTGTGCACCAACAGGCAATGCAACTCAGATTCAAATAGATGCTGGTCATATGGGCTGTCTCAGGTTCAAAGACCATCTCCATGCACTTGGAATTACATCTAAACCTGTGCTTCCTGTTCCAGATCCAAGTGTTGTCTGAACCGCAACCATAACCTTTTGCTGCCTTCTTTATTTATTGGCAACAGAAAAAGAAGAATGAGTGGGCAGCAGCCATTTGTTTTCTAAAGTCCTTGTGAGCTTACCTTTGGAACCACAAAGAGCCATGACGAGGGGGCTGTTACTCTTGTCTAGTTCTCGAAGGCAGGCACTGCCAGCATGGTCTCTGATCACAGACAGCTCTTTTAGAATCAGCGCCTGGGAGGAGACTTACAATTAATAAGCTGACCATTTCAAGAATTCACCTAAAGAGGTTGTTGCATCTTAGCAAATTCTAACGACCAAGAAAAAGCAAAGTATCCCAAAGGAAAGAAGTCTGTAGGCTGATCATTGCAACAACAGAGGCACGGCCAAGAATTTTGTCAAATTGACGAAGATGCTGGCTTTCTGTGGGGGTTTGTCCTAGCCTGGCCCCTTTGGTGCTTCAGAAGACCCAGAATTCAGGGAGGCCAGAAACTGCCTCTTTCTTTTTCCTGCACTTATTGCTGTTGGGAGGTGCCTGTTTCCTGGGTAGGGGGAACCCTATATTCAACCGTCAGGAGATAGGAGGGTTCACCGATGGTGAAGCGAGAAGAATAAGTGGCAATCAGGGAAAAGGAGGGTGCAGAAACCTGAAGTCCTCAATCTTTCCCTAGGTACAACCTTGGGAAGATTAAGATTCTGATTCAGCAAATTGATTTACTGTGATTTGGCCACTTGAAATGTGGCCCGTCTTCACATTTTGGGAGTGTTTGGCCAAATCACAGCAAATCAGTTTGCTGAATCAGAATCTTAATAGTTATGCTTCACCCTTGAGAGGGTAAATCAGCAAACAGCACACAACACGACTTCCGATTCATTACTAAGAATGAGTAATTCTCTATCAGATGGTATACAACTCACCTCTAATGTCTCTTCTGCTGTACAGCCAGGTTGCTGCTGCAGTTTGCCAGTCTTCAAAGCGTCAATATATTCATCACATTTCTTGTACCCAGCATTCAGAAGTTCATACTTTGCCTTCAGCAGCCCCTGTCCTGGAGTCACATCACCAATTCCAATGGAAAATCCTCGATTAGCTAAGTGTTTGGAAACAACAGCCAAATGTACACATCAGCTCACTGAGTGCCACACAGAGAATTTTAACCGAGGTTACTTTTGAACTCAGGGTTTAAACTTCTTATCAATGCAAGATATATTTAGACTTTCCTAAAGCTAGCAGAACTAGCTTTAAAAGTGTAGCATTTTTAGTAGATAGTCTTGCTGGCTTGTGGTACATTTTGACATTGTGTGTTCTCTTTGGGCCTTTCCAGAGAATAAATTGATAGGCATGGTTATGGCTTATGTGCTCACTGCACAAGACCCAGGCAATTTTTGTTGTTACAAAGCCAGTACTTTTCCTGCACTCAAATTTGATTATCTTGTCACTGGGGTGTGTGTGTGTGTCACAATTCTTCCCTAAACAAGTGGCATCTATTGGAATGCGCCTGTGGCATCACTAGGGACGAACAGCAACTACCTTCTTTGTACAATGTCTGTGCAGTTTAATGACTCTTTTAAAAAAAGTTATCCAACCCTAAGCTCCACCATGCCATGATCCCAGTGAATTCAGTGAAGAGGGAGACACAAATTCCAGACCTTAGTATTGACTCCAGTTTTGACTAGGAAGTGTCAGCTGTGGAGGGTCTTATTAGAACTATTGTGGTATACTGGTTACAGTGTCAAAATTAGGACGATCTGGGTTCAGTTCCTCATTCAGGCATAAAACTCAGAGGATAGCTCAGTCAATATTTCTCAGCTAATCTTCCTCTCTGGGTTGTCGTGAGGATAGATAAACAGAACTGTGCATCACATTGCCCCAAGCTCTTTGGAAGGTGTCGGGGAACTGCCATCGGCTCAGAGGCGAGAGGGGGAAGGGCAGATGGATTACAGAGAGCCTCCAAAAATCGTGGGAAGCAGCACTTCCTCAGCGGAGGAAGGAAGCCCCGCCTCTAGTGGGGAAGAGCTGCAGGGCTCGGAGGATGCAAGGCAGTGCCAGGACACCTTGCCTGAGCAAAGCGGGGAGGAGGGAGGTCCGTGTCGGCTGGGGGTCAAGAAACTACTCTGCTGGGGAAAGTTTAAGGACCGCCCACTCTCAGATTCTGCTAGTGATTGAGCAAGACATGGAATAGAGACGTTCTGCATTGGTAAATGTTTTTGCACCAATAATAAAGCCTTTGAAAAGACCAGTGAGGGATCTTGCCTGATCGCTCTCAAGCAACCACACCAATAGGCATAACAGAAGGAGTGAGGGATAGAAACACAGTGCAATAAAAACGAATGAAATTACCAGAAAGCCACTTTTCAAGGTACTTACAGAGGTAGACAGGAGCAAGTCTGGCTAGCCGTGACATCGCATCAGCTGCCTCCACTTGTCCCCAATCTCTCAGCAAAATGTAGAAGATATTATTCTTGGATCCAGACCCTAAAGTTCCTTTGTCCATGCTGCCAGCCATCAACTCACTATTGTGGATTGCAACGTCTGGAAAAAAAAGTCAGAAGCTTGTCAACCTAAGCTTCCCGTTTTCAGCTTTTTCAGACTCATGACCACTTTTAGCCCCAACATGGCAACATCTCATCCCTTCTCTTAAAGAAACTCTTCTCAAAATAATGGTGGCAGGGCTACTTATGCAACCCAGTGTACATTAGGGCATTACCTGGTTGTAGTTCCTGGTTTGCAAATGGGAAAAACACTGCTTTAACACACCCAGAAACCTATACGGTAGATGCAGAAACGCTGAGAACTCAAGTTGTAAGGCGGGGAGGGTGGGTGGTAGAATCCAAGCATATTTCAGTCATTTCATATTTTGTAACAGTTTAAGGCCACCAGGGCATATAAACAAACACAAATTCTCAACCACGAAGGTCATGGGACCTCTTACAATTAAAACTAGTTACAAGAATAAATCCAGAAACTGAAACAAGGAAAGAGACATAACTGAGCACAGTCAAACAAGAGCCTGGCTTTCTGTATGGGAGCTATAATTCTCAAACAAGGGGATTCCTTTTCTTACTCTGACATGTCAAGGGCTGCAAAGCTAAAGCTAGCTTTGCTAATTTAATAGACAAGACAAGCAGGACTGTCTCTTCATTCAACATGCACCTATAAGATGGATGTGCATTTTCGCCTGGGGTCTATCGCATCCTCCAAAGGACTTTCTGGTTCAGCCACAAACAATATTGAGCTGCGGGCGTCCACACCTTCCTTGGGAACATCTGCTTTTGGGCAGCAAGAAGACTTTCAAAGCGAGTCTAAGCAGTATTTTCTACAACAAAAGGCCAACGAAGTAAACCTCTCTTTGTAGAACATGCTGCAAGCATTTGTCCAAATCGAGTTAACCTCATAAACATTGTTCTCATTCCAAAAATAATCTAGGGATCGTTTAACAGTTTGATTTCAACTAGAACAATGGTCTGAGGTTAAGTTAGTTTCAGAAATAAAAACAACCCTCCCCACAAAGTCAGATTGTTCAATTTTGCCCAATGTTCAGCTCCTATGAAAGGAACCACCTGCACTGCACTTGCCAAACAGTGATAATTTTCCTTAGAAATGACAGATCTCAACTAATTTCTTTTCTAGTTGCAGATGCTTCAAGGCAGATCAAAAGAGACGTGTACCACTTGAGGCCCATTCGTCCACCATGTATGGGAGCCACTTTGGTGCAAATTATTCTCTCTTTTTTTAACTGCAGAAACCAAAACTGCAGAGGCTTGTGAACACTTGGAAACTGATGTGGTACAGAAAGAGTTCGATCCATTTTCCTCTATCAGCCAGCGAATTCCTTAAGTTGTGTTATGAACACAAAGTTACTTTCTTTGGTCTGCTGAAAACATCTCACCTGTCCCGAATAAAATAATAATTTTAAAAGGTCCTTGGAAGATACACTATCACTTGCTACCTTAAAAGCACAATTCTTCTTTCTTTTTTCTTATCATATGTGGTGGTCTTGTGGTAAGGTTAAGGCTTACTGGGAAATGACATACAATGAAAGGAAAAGGATGTTTAAAATAACGTTTGTAAAAAAACAACCCAGAAGCTTTTCTCTTGGGAATTTTGGGAATTCTATACTACCCAAACTGTATAGAAATTTAGTCATGTATGCGACTACAGTGGCAAGAATGTTACTTGCCCCAAAATGGAAAGAAGCAGAAGGCCCAGCAAAGGAAGAATGGAAACAAAAACTTATGGAATATGCAAAAATGGTGAAACTTACCAGAAGAATAAGAAATCAAGATAACAAACTTTTTATAAAAGAATGGAAATGGTTTACTGAATATTTACAGATAAATTGTAAACAGTTAAAAACACTGGCAGGATTATTGTAATAACCTGCAGTTTCATAACAATATATATTTAAAGAAGATGAATAAATGAGCAAGTTAAGTTAATTTGGATATGCAGGAGATATTAAATAAATTTAAGGAATCGCAGAAACAGGGAGAAGGAAGTCAAGTTTTGAAATGTCAAAATGATAGTAAAATCAGTGAAATGTATAAATCTGAAAAGTATTTTCGGTCACCTCCAGGGTTGACTACTGTAATTCGCTCTACTGCCCTTGAAGCTGTCCCAGAAACTCCAGCGGGTGCAGAATGCTGCAGCGAGGCTCCTCACAGGGTCTCTGCCATGGGAGCATATTCACCCAGTGCTTTTCCAGCTGCACTGGCTCCCGGTGGAGTACAGGGTCAGATTTAAGGTGCTGGTTTTGACCTTTAAAGCCCTTCATGGCCTAGGACCCTCGTACCTACGGGACCGCCTCTCCTGGTATGCCCCACGGAGGACCTTAAGATCCATAAATAGCAACACCCTAGAGGTCCCAGGCCCTAAGGAAGTTAGATTAGCCTCAACCAGAGCCAGGGCCTTCTCAACACTGGCTCCGGCCTGGTGGAATGCTCTGTCTCATGAGACCAGGGCCCTGCGGGATCTGATTTTTTCCGCAGGGCCTGTAAGACAGAATTGTTCCACCTGGCCTTTGGCTTAGAATCAGTTTGACCCCCCCCCCCTTATTTTTCATTTCTCCTCCTGTGAAGAGGCTGCATCCTAATGTTTTAATGTTGTATTTTAATCTTTTTAAATTGTATTTTAATCAACTTGTTTTAATTATTGGTTGTTAGCCGCCCTGCGCCTGGTCTTGGCTGGGGAGGGCGGGGTACAAATAATAATAATAATAATATTTGAAGAAGAAGAAGAAAGCACAAATCTCCAATAAACCCAGTGGCCAGTAAGTATGTCATAAGTTACAGTTGCCAAGTCTCAGGCTTCCCCACTACCTCCACTTACAGGAATCGTTGCTGCACAAGTCTTCTCCCTTGCCACAATACTGCTTGCCCTTGGTTCGAAGGTTGGCTTTGACAGGACAACTGTCACTAGGCTTCAGAATGATACCGAAGACCTGCTTTCCTGTCCACAGGGTTACAGGCTGGAAGAGGACAAAGGATTATGAAGACAAGCAGAAGAGCTTCCACTAAAGTTATAGAACTAGAACATGCAAAAACATTATACTTTAGGACTCCAAACCACTCTTCCACTTCTTTTCAACTATTCCAGGTCAAGGAGCAACATGTAGCTCAGCTGGTAGAGGACGAGACTCTTAATCGCAGGGTCGTGGGTTCGAACCCCACGTTGGGCAAAAGATTCCTGCCCTGCAGTGGGTTGGGATAGATGACCTTCGTGGTGCCTTTCCAGTTCTTCAATTCTATGATTCTAAGCAATGGGATGGTGCCACGGTTTCAATCTCTACCAATTAAATTGATTAAACCAATCAACTGAAGCTTTAATCACAGATTAAAACCTGCCCTTTATTCAATCCATGAGGCAGAGGTCAAAAGATACAGCCACACAAATATGTCTGCTCCCTTCCACCAAATGGAAGAAGACCCGTCTCTTTGTAATCAGAATTTGCAACCAAGCACTGCAGAGATGGTTCGTTTAATGGGGAAACCCTTATGGTTATCCTTTTGCCAGTAAGAATTACATCGATAACTGAAGCAGCGTGTGCTCAGCTGAAGTCAACGGAAATTTTTATCTGCAACAGCGATGGGAACATTCATTTTTGAAACCCAACATGGTATATTAACTGCAGTGCAACACATTTAGCGTCACAGGGGAGACAAATGTGTTCAGCTATTGTCCAGTTTGAGACTTTGCCACCCTCCAGAAAGGCCTCTTGCCCTGCCTCAGAGCTTGCCTTTTGATACAACAACACCAGGGAGACCCGCTCCACGTCCAGGCAAAAGAACCTCACCAATTTATTACTGACTAAACTCAAGTGCGCACTCTTTCTCCAAGACGTTCCATACCTTGAGAATTGCTGGCGGTGGGAGGCGAACTTTTATTTTCTCATCCTTGCCAACCAGAATAGAAGCGATAATCTGACAAGCTTTAGCTCGATCGAAGAAAGTGTCCTTGAGGGTGAGGAGGTAAGCCCCTAAAATGGGAAATACAGAACAAAACGCAAACACTTCCGTATAAGAGGATCAGCTAGAAAGGGCATTGAGTAAGCTACACTATACTGGCAATACATTTAAACGTAATCAGATCACATGGAACTGCAGTGGCGTGAAAGAAAAATGCATCTTAATTATCTGTATTAATATAAATAAATAAATTTCATGCAGGTTGCATTTTGGACGCTAGAAAGACCAAAAGGTATTTAAAAAGAGAACAATGAAGGCAAATATTTTACCACATGGCTCTCCTTGTACACATCCTAGAGACAACAAGGCAAAGATTAAGAATATCTCAGCAGTGGCCACACTTAGGCCCAGGTCTTCAGTAAAGAAGTTCCAATACTGATGCAATCCTGCAGCCCATATAGAACCCTCCTTTGCAGATTGTTGGTCACCTCTACACCCATGCATCTCTGTGGCATGCCCAGCAGGGAAAGTCCTCTTCAGAAGAGGCACCACCATATCAATGACACCATGGTAATAATTCTTTTTTTTTTGCAAGGAGGTATTATTCTATCACGCATGAGCAAGGAAGATCTAAGAGGTCTTGAAAACAAATGAGTGTCTCATAACACAGGTAAACGCATATTTGACTTCAAATACAGACCTGTAAGGAAATCCTGAATTGCAGCAATAAGGGGCTCTCCATTTCTTGGTGTTACCAAGTTTGCTTTAGTCTAGATGAAGGAAGATATATTAACTAGGGAAACATGGCACAATATTTCAAAAACTCTTATTATGTACATGATCATAGTACTACAAGATCTTTCTACTCTTCTCTGTGACATATATAAACACACGTTATATTCCAGTGCATTTTCTTAATGCAATAAATCTGTTTAGGGTTTGATAGGGCTTTACTGCCTAGTCAGTGTAGACATGATTCCATCCTGACAAGATTGTTCTACAAAAGGCATGGGGCCAAAATGTGGCCCACAGGCTAAATCTGGCCCTCAGCAGTTTCTCTGCCCTGTTTTCTTTTAAGTAACTTTCCTCTGTACTTATCTCCGACTCCTTCCCCTTCCTCACAAAGTGGAAGCATGAAGGAAAGCAGTTAGCAAAATGCAGACTTTGTGCAGTTCTTAAAAGGTTTCAACTAGTAAAAGAAATCAGGCAGCGGGCAGTGAACCTGCCCCATCTCAACAGGCAATAGTATGTAATAGTACTTTGCTTACCCCCATCAGAACAAGGGCTTCTGCTTTGGCTTCTTCGGTTTGAGGAAGATGAAGATTCATCTCATCACCATCAAAGTCAGCATTGTATGGTGTACAGACACATTCATTAAATCTGAAAGTCCGGTGCGGTTTTACTCTAGCCTGAAAAAAACATATCAGAAGAAAAAAATACTGTGTAAAACATACAAAGAATTCAGAACGTATCAACAGTATTTGGAAAATGCTTGAAAAAAATTGTGCTTTTGCTTTTACATAATTTCAGTTTAACTGGCTAACATGGTCCAGAGAGAGAGGTGTGATCACAGAAGGAACTCCTCTGTGAATGACAACTCTTCTCCTGCAAAATGGAGAAGATCCTAGGGTTATTTTATTTATTTAGTCAAAATCCCAAGGCAGTGTGCAATATTAAGAACATAACACACAACATAATAATAAAATAATCATAACAGCCCCCCCCCAAATCTAACAGGCCATAGATTATTTAATGGCCAAAGGACTGGGTAATAAGAGTGTTTTCACCTGGAGCCTAAAGACATGTAATGATGGCGCTAGGTGAGCCTTTCTGGGGAGAGCATTCCAGATGGGGAGCCACCACAGAAAAGGCCTGTTCCCACGTTGTTGCCCTCTGAATCTCTCAATGGCAGCCAAATCATGATCATTTCCTTATCTGACTTGAATAATGTTCTACTTAGCTTGGATCTGGGGCAATGGTAGCCATACCACACAGATGAAATTACAGAAGCTGTGGAATAGCTACTCAAGTTGGAGAAGGTAGCAGGCAACATGTACTATCTGGATCATGTAAAAATCACACAGATCACGCCCGAAGCCTGGCAGGCAGAAATCAGTGATCGTGCTCCTTTTCTCTCACAGAAGAATAATACTCTTGCGTGAAAGCCTTAAGAACTAATGAATGTATGTGTTAGGTGACCAATTATGATGATGAATGGTAATAAAAATAAATACGCCCCAGGGAACCACAGCAGTAAGTTGCTATGCTTACTATATGAGCCATGATGCTGAGCTTGTGCAAAGAGGGTTGTCGATTGAACAGGACTATATCACCATCTATGAGGTGTCTCTCCACAATGTCCCCATACTTCAGTTCCTGAGCCATCTTCTCACGGTTTCCATATTTCAAAAACCTGGGGGGAGGGAGGGGGAGAGAGAAAAAAGGAAATCTATCATAAGAAATAATCAGTCTTAGAGGAAATGATTGTTTTCCAGTTATACAGCTGTTCTTCCACAGGACTGCTGAGCTTCCTCAGTGATAAGAAAGGAAATCACAGCTGAAAGCTTTTCCGTACCATTTTACAACAATGAAGGTAACTTTTTAAAGTTAGAGGGAGGGTGAGAATATACTTGTGCAAACAGACGCAGAAAACACCAACAATTTACGAAAGTTATCATCATTAAAGAATGCTTAAGACACATGTATGAATATAGATTTTGGAAGGGGGGAAAGCATCCATTTTTAGATGCTGCCTACTGCAACGCATACATGTGCACTCTCAGAAAGGGCATTCCCTCTTGTGTGAGAAGGAATATCTCTTAAGACAGCACTTGCTACCTGCAGTTTTATAAGGACTCACATTATACAATTCTTGACTTATGAACCTATGTTGCTCAGTTAACTTGGGGTGTGTTCCTTTGTGCCTTTTTAGTTCAGTGTTTTTAATCACTTCACCTACCCACTGAAAGGCTGCAGGCCCTACTCCTAGTAATTATGATTATCAGCAGTTCATGGGAGAAGAGCAGGGAGAAGGTCTGGGAGAAGAGCAGGGAGAAGCAACCGGATCAAAATTAAGTTTTGCCCACCAGATGTGCTACTGCTTTTTAAGGCAAGCACTTAGTGAATTGTATAAGGAACAAATTTTGAATGTTTACACAAACAAGACTAGCATCTTAGGCAAGAATCATTGAAACTGAAAAGAGGGGAAAGAAAAAAATCCAGATAGCCTCTCAGTATGTTCAAAACAAGCACTAAACTTTCAAATTAAATGACTTTCAAATAAAATGAGTCTATTTCAGATACAAGGCCGCACCTTTTCATCTGTGTGTGCCTCTGCTGAATGAAGTTGGCACCCGGATGAAGCTCTGGACCATTCCGAACAAGTTTCCTCATAAAGTCGATGTTAGCTTTATTCACCTGTAATAGGAATGCTCGAGTTAAAAGCGAAAACTCGCACAATTCTTGTGCAGAGCTTTGCCAATAATTTTTGCTGCCCTGGGTAAATCATAGTTATGTGATTTTCTCTGTATTATATTCTAGACAGCACAAACAGCAACATATTAAACGATCAAGAGTTAAGTCAAGATAGCATTTTCTTGCTGTTATTTTAAATGCCTGTCACTCTTTTGTAACCGAGTGTAGTGGTTCTAGGGGTTGCTTGTGCGTAAGCCGGTGCAAACACCTGGCTGGGTTGCCTGCGTGAACCTTTTCTGTCCGGACAGCCACTCAACCGTGGCTGTCTCAATCGCTGGTAGAATCCGTCAGTGGGCGTTTCTTAAACTTCTTCCAGCAAAGAAGCTCTTTGACGCCTAGTCTCCTCCTACTCTCTCTGCGCGAAAGCCTTCTGTGCAAGGAGGGCGTAGGCAGCGAAGGACCTCTACTCTCTCCGCTGGTCCCCGGCAAGGAGTCATGGGACCGCCTCGCCGCTTCCCCCATCTGCCCCCCTTCTCCACTGGTGCTACGCTGATTCTCTTCCCCAGAAGATGGGCTGCCTCTCCCAATCCCGGGACGCTCTCTGGAATCCCTCTGGATTTTGCTCTCTCCCTCCGGCACTGATGGCAGTTCCCTGACACAGAGATAATACCCCAATACCCTGGGATATCCCTTTACATCACACAACTGACAAGATTCCTCTGTTCTCATCTTCCGCTTGGTGGTCTCTTCAAGGCATTTTGAAAACAGAAGGAGACACTTCTGGAATTTTAGCACTAGAGGACTTGCTAAGTTCCATGTTTGAGTTAACCCTATTCTTGTGCACATTCTACAACTCTTTTCAAGATTATTAGATGTCATCTATAAAAATATACATACTAAATGACCTTTCAGCTTGGCAAGAGTGCAAGGAGCAGGGGGGAATGCTATTGTGAAGATACCAGATTACAGTGGTACCTCAGGTTAAGAACTTAATTCGTTCTGGAAGTCCGTTTTTGACCTGAAACTGTTCTTAACCTGAGGTACCACTTTAGCTAATGGGGCCGCCCACTGCCGCCGTGCCGCAATTTCTGTTCTCATCCTGAAGCAAAGTTCTTAACCCAAGGTTCTATTTCTGGGTTAGCGGAGTCTGTAACCTGAAGCGTCTGTAACCTGAAGTGTCTGAAACTCGAGGTACCACTGTAGCTTCTGAATTTAAGGAACAGACAACATACAGCTGTGTCCAGTACTGTGTCCAGTTCTGGGCACCACAGTTCAAGAAGGACACTGACAAACTGGAACGTGTCCAGAGGAGGGCAACCAAAATGGTCAAAGGCCTGGAAACGATGCCTTATGAGGAACGGCTAAGGGAGCTGGGCATGTTTAGCCTGGAGAAGAGGAGGTTAAGGGGTGATATGATAGCCATGTTCAAATATATAAAAGGATGTCACATAGAGGAGGGAGAAAGGTTGTTTTCTGCTGCTCCAGAGAAGCGGACACGGAGCAATGGATCCAAACTACAAGAAAGAAGATTCCACCTAAACATTAGGAAGAACTTCCTGACAGTAAGAGCTGTTCGACAGTAGAATTTGCTGCCAAGGAGTGTGGTGGAGTCTCCTTCTTTGGAGGTCTTTAAGCAGAGGCTTGACAACCATATGTCAGGAGTGCTCTGATGGTGTTTCCTGCTTGGCAGGGGGTTGGACTCGATGGCCCTTGTGGTCTCTTCCAACTCTATGATTCTATGATTCTACAGCTAAATTTCTATCAACAGGACCTGGCCTGTCCTTTACATGGAATGATACCAGGAGCAAGTCTGACATCCATCTCTTTCCCAAGTACAGCCTAAGTCAAAAGGGTATTTAATTCCACTTGGTGATTCAAACAAAGCTTGAGATCTGATCTTGATAGAATCATGTGCAGACACTCTGAAAGCTACGGCAGCAAGGGACTGCACCACACAACAGAATATTTCATTTTCTCCCAATTACCTTCTCAGGAAATGTTAGTATTTTTGCAACATGAACAGGCACAGCCACTTCATCAATGCGCAGGTTTGGGTCAGGTGAGATCACTGTTCTGCCCGAGAAGTCCACTCGCTTTCCAGACAAGTTTCCTCTAAACCGACCTAAAAGGAAGTGGAGGGAGGAGAGAAAAGAGAGAAAGTTGAAGCTGGTCAAGGAAAAAAAAACCTCTGATCTTCCACAGAGTAAATAAACTAAAGTTATTATTCTTTATTATTGTTATTTGGTGTTATCAATGTACAGAGTGCTTTATGCAGTTTAAAAAACAAAACAATATGTTCCTGCTGCAAGGAGGATAGAGTCTGAAAATGTAACCCAGGAATAAGCAATGGGGTAGCTGGGGACGAAGGAAGTAGGAGAATATGCATTCAATTCTGTTGAACATATTTAAGCTCCTTTTCAGTAAGTGATGATGGCAAGAGGGTTAAACCACAGGCTTCATGGAGAAAGTGAATTTTAAGAAGGTATTTGAAGGACGAGAGAGAGAGAAGTGTTGTTGTGCAGATGTTCTTAGAAGAGAGTTTTACATAGGTATAACGGATAACAAAGGTGGAGTTACCTAAGCTAGCAAGTAGAAGACTTTTGGATGACTAAGGATTGAGCTGAAGATTTAAGGGCATAGGCAGAGATGTATTGGTACAGGAAGGGTGTGAATTTAAGGTGGGGGAATACCATGGAGGACATTAGGTATAATGCACAGCAGCCTCCACTGCACAAAATATAGCAGATTCAACTGTGCTCATTTCGATTTACCAATTGTATCAGGAAATAAAAGGGTTAAAACTCACTAGCAAGTGTTAATATGCACAAATACACTAGTAGCCCATTGCCAAGCTCCTTGACAATCAGCTGCAGAGTCTGCCTGGCAAGTCCAACACACAAAAGCTACAAAGCCCATATTGACCATTACGATATAACTGAACCGTTTGCGATACATGACCCCAGAGGGATAGTCTATATCCCACTTTCAGCAATTGGTAATGGAGCTCAACACACAAATGAGTTTGCTCTCATTACTTCCCCCTAAAAACTGCTTTTGGAAGCAAGACAAAAATCCAAGAAATAAATGTAAACCTGAACAGCGTTTGGAAAAGGTTCCGCTACCAGACTCCAGAAAGAACTTCTGTCAGACTAGCCAATACTGAGGCTAGATGGACATGACTTAAGGGGACTTCACATATTCAAATGTGATAGCAGCAGGAGCCAGAGATTATGCTGAAACACCTACCTTGCTTTCCCTTCAGTCTTTGAACAAAGCCTCGTGTCCACTTCTTGGGTGCCATGTTGAGAGGAATGCCAGAGAGTTCACTATTGATGTACAGAGCGCACTGCAGCTGCAGGAAGTCCCAGTCCTCCATTATCATCTGAGTTTTGGCTCCTGATATTCTATGCTGCCCAACAACAAAACAGCCAATTCAAGAAAGGAAATTTCAACAAAAGCAACTCCATAGTTCTAGGGAACATTCGGCAAGTTCTGCAAGGAGGTAACGGTGTTCTTATGAGAATCACAAATCAAATTTCTTTCACAAAGTTTTATTGCAAAACAAGGAAAGAACAAAAATAACGAGAGTAGTAACCATTTCTGAGCAATTCCGAATATGGACTTCCAGATGTGAACTCAAGATCTGAGAACTAAGAACTTTTACCAGATCAAATGTATTTTAGCTGCAGTTAAGATCTTTGATTAGGAACATATTGCACCCTAACCCCTGCAAGGTTGCCCAAAAAAAGAATTCTCTGGGGCTGAGAAATGGCTTTGTCCCTAGTCTCAGCTGTGTTTTACTCCTGTGTAAAAAAAACAACCCACAACTTTGTGATTTTGGTGGTTCTGGAAGAGCCTGGTTCAATCCGTGCCCCAGCCACAAGCTCTTTAAGGATGCCTGATGCAGACATAACATTACACCATAGCTATAAGCAGAAGGGATAGGAGATTTGCATGGTAGGAAAGGAGCTAAGAGGTCAGGAACTTTATGGCAACCCCAGGCCCAGACCAACCTCAGGTATATATGCTTAGAATAAGAATGCAACAAAACTCAGGCACTCACAGAGTTTGAAGGGGACCTAAAATAAGGTGTCTCCTACGGACCCTAGCCATGCATTTTACTACAAATTCAAAAGCTAAAGCATATGAATTTAGGACGGCATTCTAAAAAGCACTGTTAAGAAGCACAATCCATACCTACTTTAACCACAAACATAAAATTAAAGGGCAACCCACCTTTTTGATCACATCATTGAGGAAAATTATTTCCGTCAGCTTCATCGTTAAGTCATCCTCATTGGTGCCGGATTTTAAGTCGCTCACCACGGACGGCCTAATGCAGAGCGGGGGGACCAAGAGTCGTGTCAGGATCAAGTCCGAAGGCTTGCCGGATTCGGGGTTCATCAAAAGCAGAGGGATGTCTTCTGCGGGAATTCTCTTTAGGATATTTAAAACCACTAAAGGATTCAAGTTTTCCTACAAAACGTAAAAGGTTACAATCACACTTTTAACATTGCAGAGCGGGAAACTCAGTTTCTGGCTAAGACTCAAGCAATGCCTTGTCCACTGATTTGTCAAGTAGCTTTAAAACCACAAGGAAGGGCAAAATGTTGTGCCAGCATTTCATGTTTTAAGGATCACAAATGTGTTCTTTACTTTCTTTAGAACTCAAAGGCTTAAAAGGCTTAAGCAGACATTTCTCAAACTTTGCCTATTTCCTAGTTATTGGGCCATCCCCTATACAAAAAAAGTGGGTAGAACAATGGTATAAAGTACTGTACTTTGTACAGTAGGCTATAAGCCAGCCACACATAAATCAGAGGTTTCTACACACATGCAAATGAATGTTCCAGGCAAGGAATAGCATTGTCATAGTCCAAGGACACATTCCAGTCAGCTGAAAGAACATGCTAACAACTACTGCATGGGTAGGCAAACTAAGGCCCGGGGCCGGATCCGGCCCAAACGCCTTCTAAATCCAGCCTGCGGACGGTCCAGGAACCAGCGTTTTTACATTAGTAGAATGTGTCCTTTTATTTAAAATGCATCTCTGGATTATTTGTGGGGCTTGCCTGGTGTTTTTCTATGAGTAGAATGTGTGCTTTTATTTAAAATGCATCTCTGGGTTATTTGTGGGGCATAGGAATGCATTCATATTTTTTTTTCAAAATATAGTCCGGCCCCCCAGAAGGTCTGAGGGACAGTGGTCCGGCCCCCTGCTGAAAAAGTTTGCTGACCCCTGAACTACTGCATCCACACACTTCAAATATATGCGGCTTCATACACACACAGAACCCAGAGTCTAGACTGCGTATTTGCTTATGAAGGCTTACTAGCTGCCCAGACACAATTGTTTTAAGAGTATGAGGCAGGGCATCTAATGGAATTGCAGGCTGTTACCAAGGGACACACAAGGCTAAAAGCTTTCCTTGACAAAATTCAAGCCAATTACAGCAGTTGGGAGACTGTGCAAAGTGAACATTCAGCTCTTCGAGTGGCAGCCAAGATTTATAGTGATTCAGCCCACACAATAACTCAGTGATTTTGGTACAATACCACATGTACTTTCACGGACTCCTGGGCTACATTTCCTCCCTCCGTGACAAGAAAATAAGAATGTCTGGCTTTTCGTCACCACTCACTCATCATCTCTCACACATGGCAAATAACCGTTATTAGAGTTTGATGACAGAAATGATAAGGGACCTCCTTAGACTAGTGATTCCTAGAGCCTGAGAATCCCAACTCTGACCATCTCAAACCAAATTCTCAAGGATCACACGCAGTCAAGCTCTTACAGGCTTGCTGCTAACCCCCCCCGCAACAATGCAACTGTCAGAAGTAAGCCTAAGTTCAATGGGACTTGCTCCCAGGTAAGTGTAAGATTGCATACTAAATTGGAAATGCTTTTAATCTAGGGTTTTGCAAGAAAGCCACACACTCAGCTGCTACGCTACAATCTCTCCAACTTCTTTTAAGGTGTTGTGAACCATCTGTAGGTTGGGTAGACAAGAGAAGGCACTTCACTGGTTTTATAAATGCTATGAGTAGTGGATGGCAGAGGGAGGCTGTGTCACTTACCTGACCTCCCTCCCTCCGAATCACTGTTGCATACCAGGTGGAGAGGGGCAGGGAAGTGGTGAGGTTAATACGGTGCAAATTTGGTGGCAGAAGCACCTGAATGGCTCTGCTGGCATGTATGCTCCATACCGAACTTATCCCTCCCTGTATGCAGCAGTGTCTAGGTGGGAGGGAGGTTGAATAAAAGGCAAAACCCTGCTGTGCTGTCTGCTACTGAACACTGCAGGGCAGGGTGGATAGAAATCTATGATTTATAAAATAATAACTGGATATTTTTTTTATTTAAATCGGATTTTTAATATGCAATGCTTTTTGAGAAAAAATGGTTCTAAATACAGTTTTCTATTTAAGTTACATTATAGTCCAAAGGCTATCCATCAGGAAATAAGGATTTGTTTTAAGATTTTCATGTGTGCTAATTTTAAAAAAAATTGTTCAACCACATCAGTTAACAAAAATGGATACCTATGATATAATGTTTAAATTGATTTGATTTAAATCAAATCCACCCTGCTGCAGAGCAAAAACATGACTAAGATAGGCTACCATCCTCTAGGCACTAAGCATCAAGAAATGCTTTTGCAAAAAAAAATAAAAATCCTTGGTTTGTTTCAACCTAAGAGAAATCCCCCTTCCCAAAGGAAGAGAAAACTGAAACAATACAAGACTGTACAGATTTCTTATTATTTACCTGGGCTTTCCCCAGTAGGGATTCAATCTCCTTATTATGTTCTATAGCGGTGTCAAAGGACTGTATGAAGTTAGACACAATGGGGTCCATTATCTTCTTCGTCGTCTTGTATTTCTCATGGATTATCTTCAGTAAGCCACACTTCTTTACAGTACCTACAAGAAGATCCAGAAAATTTGCACACACATTTTTGCATTTTAATAATTTACATTGGTCAGCACTCCAGAGTCATGCTCAATGTTTTACAAATAGAATTAGAAAAAAAGAGGAAAAAATGAGGAGCACAGGAGACACACAGACCAAAACCTTCAGTAGAATAAGGTTACTGTATTGTGGTTTAGTCACTAAGACTAAGAATGTTTGGTTCAAATTGGTTTTTTTTCAGGCATTACATAATCTCGGCTATAAAACAGCAACCAAGAAATTGCAGCAACTCTTAAAGTCAAGCAACAATTTTAAAAGCTGAGAGTGACAAGCACATAGAAAATCTCAACAACAACAAAAATAAGACACTATCTATAATCAAATAGGGACGCGGTTGGCACTGTGGGTTAAACCACAGAGCCTGGGACTTGCCGATCAGAAGGTCAGCGGTTTGAATCCCTGCGACGGGGTGAGCTCCCGTTGCTTTGTCCCAGCTCCTGCCCACCTAGCAGTTCGAAAGCACGTCAAAGTGCAAGTAGATAAATAGGTACCGCTCCAGCGGGAAGGTAAACGGCGTTTCTGCTCTGGTTTGCCAGAAGCGGCTTAGTCATGCTGGCCACATGACCCGGAAACTGTACGCTGGCTCCCTCGGCCAAAAAAGCAAGATGAGCGCCGCAACCCCAGAGTCGGCTACGACTGGACCTAACGGTCAGGGGTCCCTTTACCTTATAATCAAATACCTGTGATAATATGAGGCAGTCTTATACTGCCTATCTGTCCGTGAAGTATTTCTGAACCCTTCTGAATACCGGCTGCTGGAAACCGCAGAGCAGAGAGAGCTCTTGCACTTGGATCCCTGCTTGCAAGCTTCACATAGGCATCTAGCTGGCCACTGTGAAAACAGGATGCTAGTCCAGGTGGTCCCCTGTCTGATCCGTAAGGCTCTCAAGTTCTTAAGCGGTTCCAGACTCAAGTTGCTTAAGGACCAAAGGGCAGATTAATGCACTCACCATTAAAAGCCCCACAATACGGGCAGGTGTTCTTTTTTCTGCACTTTTCAGAGATCTTTTTTTTCAAACCCCGTTTCTGGAGGTAGGTCAAGCCAGGTCTCTTCAGATAATCCAAAAACTGTTTCTGTTCTTCGAAGGTCAGCATGATACGGCAACAGGTCTTACAAATCATCTAGAGCAGAAGCAAAAAACACAATTTGCCGTCAACCAATACACTTTTGGACACTCCATAAATTTATATGCACATATAGGGACACTGTGGAAGGTTGAAGGCGTTGAGCTTCCTGTCATGTATTCTTCTTCAAAGCTATGCTATGCAGTAAATCTAAGGAAATGGCAAAAGTCCAAATATTTATATGAATGCTTTTGGGAGGAGGGAGTCTATTCTACTGAGCACTTCATTAATAATAACTACTCAGAAACTTTATATATTGAACATCAGGTAAGCACAGTACTGTAATTAATTTCTAGTCCACCTTCCCTCCAGTAAGCTCAAGGCAGTATACAGTGGTACCTCGCAAGACGAATGCCTCGCAAGACGAAAAACTCACTAGACGAAAGAGTTTTCCGTTTTTTGAGTAGTTCCGCAAGACGAATTTCCCTATTGGCTTGCTTCGCAAGACGAAACGTCTTGCGAGTTCTTGCGAGTTTGTTTCCTTTTTCTTAAAGCCGCTAAGCCGTTAATAGCCGCTAAGCCGCTAATAGCCGTGCTTCGCAAGATGAAAAAACCGCAAGACGAAGAGACTCGCGGAACGGATTAATTTCGTCTTGCGAGGCACCACTGTACATAGTTCTCTTCCTCTCCATTTTACCCTGACAACAACCCTGAGAGGTAGGATAGGCTGAGAGAGAATGACTGACCCAAAGTCACCCAGTGATCTTCATGGCTGAGTGGGAATTTGAACCCTGGTCTCCTATCAGAGGACATCATCACAGACAATGGCCCACAACTGGAACAGCATGTCAAGTGTCCCTCAATCTCTGTCATCTCCAGTCCTTGACATGAAATGCAACTTTACCTGCAAAATGCCTATCACGGCTTTGAAGTACCCCACATGGAAACAAGGCAACTCCAGGTCAATGTAGCCATAATGACCCAAACACTCCGCCAGATTCTTTCCACAAGTTTCACATGGACGATCCTTCTCACTTGTACCCTTGGGAGTAGAAATGCATTAAACAATTAACAGTGGCGCCTTCTCTACATATCTTTAGGTGGCAGGCAAAAATATTCCTCTTCTCCCAGGACTTTGACTAATTAAACAATCTTTTAAACACACACACACTTTCTCTGTGTGCATTATTTTTGTTTGCTACTATGTTATGTATTTTTTGGGTTTTTATATTGTAAACTGCACTGTGGTTCTCAGATGAAGGGCAGTATAGAAATTTAATAAATCAAATTAAATAGATAAGATATTATCAAACTGTTCTCTGATGAATTAAGACACCCCACTACTAATTATGTGTCACAAGCAGTATATGGCTTTATTACTCCTTTGTAATCTTAGAACTCACAAGGATCTTAGTTCTCGCAAGTCCACACACACATGCATCCATACACAATTATCTAGCCACAAATAAGCGTGCATAACAAATGCTCTTCTTTTCAGTAAAGAAAAGAAAACTAGACTACAGAAATCAAGCTTTGTTTTAGCCTACAATTCTAGACCTCAAGTAAGTTTTTCATCAACATACATTTTGCACACTAGAAAAGACTGATATGATCTGAAAGTAATGGGTGCGTAAAGAAATGCTTTTGGAATGTAAGCACCCAAAGCTGTTTTATATTGTCAAGTCACCCATCTCTCGCCTATCTCCTCTGCCTGACAGCAGTTCCACAGGTTGAGTTTTTTCAAAGTCCTGCAACCCAGATCCTTTCTAACTAGAGATACTTTACACTACTTCTTATGCATTGTGGGATATGATTGAACAACAAAAGGTCTTACCATTCGATGGTCCAGTACACCATACTGCAGAGGTGAATGATTGTTGTCTTGACTGTATAGGTTTTTACTAACCACCTGGATGTGAGCTTGCTGTCGCATCTCTTCTGGAGACTTCATCCCAAAGCAGATGTGGCTTCTAGAACAGAAAACAGCACCAGATATATCACAAAATGGAGATACAGTGGTGCCTCGCAAGACGAAAAGAATCCGTTCTGGGAGTCTCTTCGTCTAGCGGTTTTTTCGTCTTGCGAAGCAAGCCCATTGATGGGATTAGCGGATTAGCGCTATTAGCGGCTTTTAGCGGCTTTTAGCAGCTTATCAGCTTATCGGATAAGCAGATAAGCGGCTTAGCGACTTAGAAAAAGAGGGGGAAAAGGGGAAAAAAACCCCAGGAACTCGCAAGACATTTTCGTCTTGCGAAGCAAGCCCATAGCAGATTCGTTTTGCGAGGCACCTCCAAAACGGAAAACTCTTTCGTCTAGCGAGTTTTCCGTCTTGCGAGGCATTCGTCTTGCGGGGCACCACTGTACTCTGGTTGACTATTTTGAAGTCTCTGCTTATATAGAATGTGACTTGCCTCTGACAAGTAAGCAATACCAAGAATCCAGCACACCAGACTTCTGTATTTATATCTTGCAGCCTTCTAAGCACAATTCTGACTTTAGCATATAAAGCCATGAGTGGCCTGGCCCCAACAGACCACCCATTGTAATCTCCAATATTGGTCAAGAGTCTCCCTAAAATGTACGATTCACATAAGACACGAAGCCTTATTTGGCTAGCTCAAGACTAAGCCAAAAAGTGAATTAAAAACACATATTTTCCTGAGTATTGCACATACCCCGACACCATAAACAAGCGCTCATGTACACAGACAGCAAGGACTCTTGAGTTTAATAGCTGGATCTTATCCTCTTCCCTTCTATAGTCTATCTGTCAGAATGTGAAATGAGGCAAGAAGCAAGAGGTGGGGCGCTCACTCTACATTACACTGTGGAAAAGTAGATTTTTAAAGAATATATTTTATCAGAAACGATTATGCCTCAGAAGCTTCTATTTCAGTGACTAGTTGCCATTAGATAATATTCAGAAATGTTGTTGGGTGGCTGCTGAAACTTCTAGAAGCACAGCCACAGGTGATCGAAAGCATGAAGTCCCTGATGCCTACTCACTTAAGAACACAAAAACAGCCTGCTGATTTCAACAGAAGAGACCAGCAACCACCTGAGATTTCCTGCTGCTTTGTCTTTTGTTTTAGTATTTTACGTTTTATCCAACATAAGACGAGCCTGCTGGATCAGGGCAAGTGCCCATCTTGTCCAGCATCCTGTCCTCACAGTGGCCGATCAAATGCCTATGGGAAACCAGCAAGTAAGATTCAAGCCCAAGAGCCCTCTCCCCTCCTGTGACTTCCAGCAACTGGTTGGTACAGTGGTACCTCTAGTTACGAACTTAATTGTATTCAGAAGCATTGCTGACTCCATCTGTGGAGACAGAGCATAGCCACCATGGTTAGCAGCTATCGACAGCCCTCCACAAATTTGTCTAATCCTCTTCTAAAGCCATCTAGGTTGGCGGTCATCCTGTGGGAGCAGGTTCCATCGTTTAAACTATGTGCTGTGTAAAGAAGTACTTTCTTGAGGGCACAGGCTGAAGAAACTCTGTGTATAAGGATGCAAACCTCCCGCAAACTTATACAGTGGCACCTCAGGTTAAGTACTTAATTCGTTCCGGAAGTCTGTACTTAACCTGAAACTGTTCTTAACCTGAAGCACCACTTTAGCTAATGGGGCCTCCTCCTGTTGCCATGCCACTGGAGCACGATTTCTGTTCTCATCCTGAAGCAAAGTTCTTAACCCTAACCACTATTTCTGGGTTAGTGAAGTCTGTAACCTGAAGCGTATGTAACCTGAGGTACCACTTTATGGGACTTGCTGCCAAGTCAACATGCATGATCTAGAACCACAGAATCCTACAACCATGGGGAAATGCTGACTACAAGAGGAAGGCATGTTTAAATACTACAGAAAATTACTTTTTTGTATTATTTTACTTTATTCCCCCACCCTAATAAAGTCCCAGGGCAAGCTACGCTTGCAAAAAAGAAAATGCAAGCAGAACATATAGCCATCTAATGTAAACAAAATTGCTTATATTTAGATTTCCAAAATACTTCCTTTTCTTTCTTTTTTTTGGCTGAGCTAAAAATAGATTTATCCCAGGATAAAGAAAGAAGACAAAAACTTTAAGAAAGAATGGGGAAATTTTATAATTTACTTAGGAGACCACTGTAAGCAGATGAAAACAATAGCAGGATTTGAATAACACTTGTAATGTAACAACCACTGTGGACAATTATGGACAGATACAAAATATGGATTATGAAATAATATGCAGCTGAAAATGCTGACAATAAGACCCATGGAGGGGATGGTGGGAAGTCTGGAGATTCGGAGAAATCTCTAAATGTGGATATTTATTTAGTATTGTTATAACTCTACGCTTGTAAAATCAAATAAAAATCATTTTCAAAAAAATAAAAAAATAAAAATAAAAAGATTTATCCCTCCTGCTCTCCAAAAGGGGCTCTCCGTAAGGTGCCTCCCGTGCTGTTGCACCATTTCCCCTCCACACCACTCAACGGACCGCTTTCCTCGCCCCCCAACTTGGCAAGCTTGTTCTTCGCCGCCCCCCGAGTCCCGCTTACATCTTCTTGGCCACGTCCGTCTCGCGGAACTGCTCCTTCACCATGGCGGCGGTTCCCCTCTCTGTCCCGGGGACGGCTCAAGGAAAGAGAGAGGAGCCGTGCGCAGCCAACGCCGCCGCCGCCTCCTCCTTCCCCTGAGCGAGCTGCACACCGCAGCCGGCAGACGGGCATCGGGCGCGTGCGTGTCGCCGCCAACCGCGAAGGGTCGCCGCTTTCGGAGCCGCATCCACCCGGCGTCGCAGCGCCACCTAATGGCCGGAGGTGCAACGAAAGGGAAGGAGAGCGCGCAGGTGAGCGCGCGCGGGGGGGGGGGGGGTCCCACCTGCCAGCCGCCCCAGACCAGAGAAAGTTGCATCATCATCATCATCATCATCATTATTATTATTATTATTATTATTGAATTTCTACGGCTCCCAACACCCGAGGAACGGAGGGCGTTTTGCAACCACAACTATGTTGCGCATTTTGGTACTTTCGTATTGCAAAATATTTTTTTGCTTCCCTACCTTTTCATTAATTAGGTCTTTGGCTGATTAAACCATCTATTGTGGTCTTTTAAAGTGTGTGCATTGTTGGGCAGGGGGAAGGTGTTTATTGCTTTCGTTTGTTCTTATGGTATGTATTTTTGTATTTTTCTTTTTAATAATATTTTTTATTAGTTTTCCAAATTATTACAAATCCGTTCAAATGACTTTAATGTAATTTCTTAAAATCAGGTTTCTCACTCCCGTTGCGAACATACGTCCATCTCTTCTTCCTATTGCCACATCTTGTTTAATATCCATGTCATCCTTTAAGAGTTGTCCATTCTTACAGTAAGCTGCAATTTTTGTGTTTTTCTACTGTAAACCGCCCTGTGTTTCCTCGGACGAAAGGCGGCATAGAAATTCAATATATAACAGTCATCTATCAGTGAAGCTGTGCGATTAGCTGGCAGGCGAGCGGTGCCTTATGACAGCCAACCTTAAAGCGTTTAAAGCCGACGTTGTTTGTTCTCACGATACAAAGAAAAGCCGACACGCAGGTCAGCTATTTGAAAACGAGTTTTGTTTCCTTTCTTAGTAAACAGGCCGCTCAGGCATCCGTACCGACACTCGGAAGTCTCTATGGTCGGCCGTCGACTTCCGTCGACGCGTTTTCTGTGCCCTCCCCTTTTGGACGCGAAGGCCCGCCTCCTTTTCCTCCGCGCGAGCGCCGCTATATGATTGGCTGCCGAAAGTTCCTTCCTTCCTTTTGCCGGAGACGCCGCCAAGATGGTGAGTTCTCGTCGGGCTCCCCCGAGTTCCCTGGGAGAGGCGGCTTCAATCCGAATTAGCCCCGCGCCATCCTTTGTCCGCTGGCCTTCGGAGCGGCTACTCTCCCTTCAGCGGGGCTTTCTGGTTGTGCTGGGCCGGTTATTGGGCGGGAGGAGGGAGTTTTAGGGGTCCGGCTCGCGGTCTGAACGGCGCACCCCCCCTCCACCGCTCTGCTTTCGGGCTTAGTGTGCGGCCTGGTCTACCAATAAACGGGGATGGCGGAGCGTGTGTGTGTGTGTTATATCAAAATGTCCTCTCCTGTATCAGCTTTCTTCCAAGGTGTTGCTGCTGTTTCTGTATCCCCAATTTCCACCATCCCTTGCCGTGCTGGCCGAGGCTGGTGAGATTTGGGAATCTCAACCACTTGGAGGGCGCCGGATTTATGGAAGGGCTGCTAGTTCAATGAATCGCTATTTTATCTTATTGTATTTCATGTCTGCCTAAACTTCAGAGGCAGGGTGGGGGTAGGTAGCAGTTTATACCCCTCCCTTGAAAAATAGTTGAAATTTGGCACTTTAAGGTAGCTTCAAATCGTTGCATTGGCAGACATTAATACACACGGTGTCTTTGAATTTTGTTTTTTTGTTGCAGAACGACACGGTCACCATCCGAACAAGGAAGTTCATGACCAACAGGCTGCTTCAGCGTAAGCAGATGGTGAGGCAGATGTGTTAATACTTTTATTTGGTTCATTCATAATCATAGCCTAATTTTCACGTACATAAAGTTCTATGTCTGTGTTAAAGCTGAGGTTGGTAAATTTAGTGACTGCAGTGTTTTTCCTGGATTAATTAGTAATATAGCATTATATTTTGGGACGCTACAGTGTGTTGATCTGTTTTTGTTACTGTGTTAATATCTTGAGTTGCAGTTATAAGCAAAGTTTCTTGAATGGTTATCGAGAAGTTTTATTTTAGATTACTAAAATATCTGATAAATTGTCATGCTCCCTCTACTGTTAATGTTATTTTTTGGCATGATAACATACTGTGGCATAGCAAGGAGTGCATTGGAAAGCTGGAATGGTCCAGCCGGTTTGTCAGTCTTTCTATGTGAGGGTAAACAAGGGCTACTCAGATTTATCAATCTTTTGTTCATTTATATGTTGAATGTATTGTTAACTTTCTAGTTCATAAGTTAATATATATTTGAACACCAGTGATCCCGCCTTCCAACTGAAGCTAGCTGTAATAGACTCAGAACTTAAGAATGCTTTGTACAGGAAGACTAGAAGCTAAAGAAATTACTAGCTATATTCCAGAATGTGGCAGTGGAACCTGAATTTTCCCCTAGCAAATGTTTCCGTACTGCTTTTCATTCCCATGTTCAAAAGTTTATATTGCATCCTAATATATATGTCCCACACAGGGCATTGCTACCACTGTGCTAGGAGCATCTTGTACTCTGATGTGCATGTTTTGCCTTGTGGTTTACACTTCTTGTGATACTGAAGCAGTCTTAAATGACAGAAAAGTCCTTAAAGTGCATTGCATATAAAGAAAACCAGTATAGCACAATCAGTTGGTGGAATTCATTCGTTTTGCTATTTTACATGTTTCCTCTGCACCAGCACATTGGTTTGCCAGAGAGAACATTTTGCCACACATGCTATTTGGGGCTTCTCCCAACTCCTTGGAACCAATTCCAAGGGGAGGAAAGCTCTATTAAAGAAGCCCTTGTAAAGTTCTTCCACTGACATTAGGTGAAACCTACCCAGTAGCTTTTTGCAGGACTGCCATCTGCACTACGTGCAAAAAGTATGTAAATATAAAGGTAAAAGGTAAAGGTACTTCTGCCCGTATGGGCCAGTCTTGACAGACTCTAGGGGTGTGTGCTCATCTCACTCTAGAGGCCGGGAGCTAGCGCTGTCTGCAGACACTTCCGGGTCACGTGTCCAGCGTGACGAAGCTGCTCCGGCAAGCCGGCACCAGAGCAGCACACGGAAACGCCATTTACCTTCCCGCTATACAGCGGTACCTATTTATCTACTCGCACTTAAGGGTGCTTTCGAACTGCTAGGTGGGCAGGAGCTGGGACCGAATGACGGGAGCTCACCCCGCCGCGGGGATTCGAACCGCCGACCATGCGATCGGCAAGTCCTAGGCGCTGAGGTTTTACCCACAGCACCACCCGCGTCGCCATGTAAATATAAATAGGTTTTTTTATTGCCACCTGAATAACATCAGTGCTGGGGGACAGCTGGATTTCTGTAGAGGATGTTTAGGGCCTACATGTGTGTGACAAAATAAAGTAGCTCACGAATAGTAACTTTTGTGAAGCTCTTTGTATTCATAGGTCTCCCCCCCCCCAATACATTAAAAGTGTTTAATGTTTTGTCAATTCTGTATAGGTGATAGATGTTCTTCATCCTGGAAAGGCCACTGTTCCCAAAACTGAAATCCGCGAAAAGTTGGCCAAAATGTACAAGACAACCCCAGATGTCATTTTCGTCTTTGGCTTCAGGACTCATTTTGGAGGTGGGAAGACAACAGGCTTTGGCATGATCTACGATTCCCTCGACTATGCAAAGAAAAATGAACCAAAGCACAGACTAGCCAGGGTAGGCTTCTTCGGTTGTTTACCTTGTTTGGAAAGACTGGGGTGGTTGTGCTAAATAGTTTTTCTTTCTTTCTGGGACCTTTTGAAGCGTTTGTTCTGCTAAAGATACACTCTTCCTGTTGAATTTTTTATTTTAAAATGGTATCTTAAACTATTGTTGTACTTAGTGGTATTAAGAAGGTTGATATTGATAACATCAGTATTTTATTTATATCTATGTGTATCTTGTCCGTCCCCTCATTGCAGTGAACCTTTTCATGCAAAGCAGATGCTGTGCTCAGTTGGGATGGCTCAGTTGGTTGAGCATCAGACTCTTAATGTCAGGGCTGTTGGTTTGAGCCCTACATTGGGCAAAAGATTCCTGCATTGCAGGGTACTGACTAGAAGACCCTTGTAATCCCTTCCAACTGTGTACAATTCCACGATTCTCCCATGTTTAACTTGTAACAACTTCATGTTCCTATAAATACTTGCCATTACACTCTACTAGAAGCCAGTGTGCTGTAGGGGTTAAGAGTGGTAGACTCATAATCTGGTGAACCAGGTTGGTGTCTCCGCTCCTCCACATGCAGCTGCTGGGTGACCTTGGGCCAGTCACACTTCTCTCAGAAGTCTTTCAGCCTCACTCACCTCACAGAGTGTTTGTTGTGGGGGAGGAAGGGAAAGGAGAATGTTAGCCGCTTTGAGACTCCTTTGGATAGTTATAAAGCGGGATATCAAATCCAAACTCCTCCTCTTCTACTGAAATTGTCAACATCGCCACTTTTTAGTGTGCCTACATACATCATAAGAGGCCTGGCTACCAAGTCTTGTGAGGAAAGGCTCAAATGATCTGGGTGTGTTGAGCCTTGATTAGAGTTTAGAACATAATAATGAGAGCCATCTTCAACTTTTGAAGGGTTGTCATATAAATAAGAGAGTGAATTTGCCTTATGTCGCTTCAGAGGCCACAACCTGAATTACAGTCGTACCTTGGAAGTCAAACAGTAGCCATTCCGGAAGTCCGTTCAATTTCCAAAATGTTCGGAAACCAAAGTGCAGCTTCTGAATGGAAGCTGCGGCAGCCCCGTCGGATGTTCAGCTTCCAAAAATAGTTCACAAACCGGAACAGTCACTTCTGGGTTTGTGGCGTTTGGGAGCCAGAATGTCTGAGAACTAAGCTGTTCAAAAACCAAGGTACAACTGTATTGGGTTCAAATGAGAAGAAAAAGCATTTTGCAAGCTGTTCAGTAGTGGAGTCAACTGCCTAGGAAGCTGGTGGGCTCTGCTTTGTTACACTTTCTAAGTAGAGGCTGAATGTCTACCTATCAGGGATGTTGTGCAGTGGTACCTCGGGTTATGAACAGTCCTGCTTATGAACGCTTCGGGTTATGAACTGTGCAAACCCGGAAGTAGGTGTCCTGGGTTGCGAACTTTGCCCTGGGATATGAACGCAATCCTCTTCCGGGGCCATGGGAGGCCTATGTAGGGAATGCACGCTTCAGGTTAAGAATAGACTTCTGGAATGAATTAAGTTCGTAACCTGAGGTACCACTGTAGTGGATTTCCTGCATTGGCAGCAGGATTGGATGTCTTTTTATGACTGTCCAAGGTTAAATGCCAGTGTGTACTTTGAGTGATTTACTTTGCTTTCCTTTTACTAGCATGGTTTGTATGAAAAGAAAAAGACTTCAAGGAAACAGCGTAAAGAACGTAAGAACAGGATGAAGAAAGTCAGAGGAACAGCTAAAGCAAATGTTGGAGCTGGCAAGAAGGTAAGTTCAACCCATCAGTGCTCATAAGCGCAGTCATTGTTGTAACTATATTGGATGTTTCATGACAAAAATAACCTTTTCCTTTTCTTTCAAATTTCAACTTTTACTTCTGGATTGCAGAAGGTAACGCTGAGATGCTGCGTAGTTCTTAGCTTCTCAAGTAGTTTAGCTTTTGTGCATCTCTTATTACTTAGTAGATAACAAAGTAAACAGGTAACAGTACCTAGTCTCCAAAGTCTTCATCTGAAGATGGAGGGTTTTGGAGTGTCTTTTTCCCACCCTTTCCCTCTTGCGTAGCTAAAGTAGATCTTGCCTGACCCCATCCTGTCCTGCCTTACCCTCCAAATTAGCACATACTAATGGCAACTAAATGAGACTTGAAATGTCCCTCAGTAAAGTGGGTACAGGTAAATAGAAAAACACTTCCTGGCATTTAATGGAGTTGAAACGTGGAGCATTCAAGTTGAATACAAGTTTTGCTTAACATATAACAGTGCAGAAATCAGACTTAAACCCAGTAGGCATTTTTAACATAAGCATGGTTTAAATTTGGATTTTAAATAGCCTTGAGTTCAAACTTTTCATTAAATGACTGACTTACTGTAAATTCAATCTTTTGATTAGTAGTAATCCTTTACTTTCACCTTTTTTCCTACTTTCTTGGGATTCTTGTTGATCAGAAATGAAGTGCCTAGCAGGTACCGAGAATAAGCATGGATGTGATTGCGTGTATTATGCATCACTTGCTTGACTTCCTAATGCTCCCTTGCTTTGTCTGTGTGTTTTTGCTTTGGAACAAAATTTTCTTGCCTCTATAGATTTTAATTTCCAGTAGGAAATACTTTGCTGTAGTATCAGGCAGGTTTGTAAGCTTAAATGTGCTGTAGTTAATATACAACATTTATAAATTGAGTAGCATCCCCCGTATTGAGAACAAGTGTGGCCCTAGATGTCTAAAATGTATGTTGCATGTTCTCACTTAGTGTGCAACAACCTTCTTGAAAGTTTGATGAAGTTTCATGCTTCAGGCTGCCATACACCAAGGCAAATATTCTGCTTATAAAAACACTACATTGTGGGTTGAATTTACATGTGAGAACTGCTTATAGCTGAACAAGTTGGTAACTAAAACACTCGAAATCCTGTTCCCTTCTGTTGAATGTTGAGGATTTAGTCCTCTTTTCTTTTTTTAATGCAGCTGGCAATTCATACACTATAAAAATTCATATTGTTCTAGGCTTTAACTTTTATCTGAGACTTTCAAATAGTTAAATGTACCTCCTGCTTCACCACAAGCACAGAACAGTCCCATTATCCAGGTGTCCCCCACACTGCTTCAGGTGCAAGGCTGCATCTGCTTCTGGAGCTCTTCACACCAGCATCCTTGTTTCTCCTTTTCTGTGATGCTACATCATGAGCCTGCCTGCTTCAATATTGGCTTACAACCATATGAGAACAAATAACATAGGTTTAGGCATCACAATACCTTCACAAGGCACTTTCCCTATCTCATAGATTGTAAAGTCTTCCTTGGAACTGTTCCATTCATATATAACTTAAAGTGAAACTTAACGACACTGCTGATGTGCCTGTAAAGGTGGAAAACTGAGTGGGGATCAGGACCACAAACCCCTCAGTTTATCTATACTTTCCTGTATTCTAGCGGCTGCTGAGCTATGGAGTACAGTCATACCTCGGGTTAAATGTGCTTCAGGTCGAGCATTTTCAAGTTACGCTCCATGGCGACCCGGAAGTAATGGAGCGCAGAGGCTCAAAATGACGTCACTCGCATGCGTGGAAGTGGCGACACGCGCAGACGCGTGTTACGTTCTACTCAGGATGCGAACGGGGCTCTGGAACGGATCCCGTTTGCATCCAGAGGTACCACTGTAGAGAGGAATATGGCCTGATGCTGTTACATAGGTCACATAGTGTGGCTCACTGCTGCATATTAGCAATTGCATATTCTAAATATAATTGCAAATGCACACAAAGTATTTGAATCCTTGTGTAGTAGACCTTATCATACCACTTAGGCTTGTACATTGATGTGTGTTTATCTAGTAAGTGTCCTGGCTTTTTGTGAGAAGCTTTTTTTTAGTAGTGGGAGGCAAGGAATTGTTTGCCTTTTGTCTAGTTTGCAATAATCCCCCTTAAGTTGCGAACAACTTACCCTTAACCGTGGCAAACTGCTTCTTAAGCTATTCACTTGACAAGCAGCCAGCTCCTAAGCTACCTGTGGCTATTTTCTCTCACCTTCAAAATCGTCCTGCAACTTGACTTTTTCTCACCTAATCCTTTGTGTTTCATCGCTGTACTATTTATGCTGCAAACTTGGGTCTTGACACAACTGAAACAGGAAGCCTGCTAATAAGATTCTGGGCCTGATTCTTTAGTTAGCCCAAGGCTACAACTAAAATTAATTCTGTATACATGTAAGGTATGGAAATAGGTGCCATCCAGTAGTGTAAAAACAATGGTACATAGCCTAAAGGGGTTGTCTTGTCTTTTAAATGAAAATGATGTGATTAAAGATATACTGACATCTTTTTCTCCCTTTCTTACAGTGAGCCAGCAGTGGATTTTAACAGGTAAAAGTACATCCATCCTTCATTGCTGAGGGACCTGCTTATTGCTAGTCTCTTCAGAAGTTCATTCCTCCTGAAGGCTTTCTGATAACTGATGGTTAACTTCCTTCATTGGGGTTCTTTAAAAACCTCCTTTAGGTGCATGTCACAGTAACTATCATAAATATCTGCAGCAGGAAGTAGTTCTTCCTTGAAGGGTATTGTGGGGAGTGATCTGGCTCCTCAGCACAGCCTAACTCCTCCCATCTTCAAGGGTTGGGGAAAGAGGTGGGCAGAGCAGTCAAAGTTAAAATGCACCCCACATTATCTGCAGAGTCTTCTGAACAGTTGGGGCAACTGGCTGGATTGAAATTGCCACACAATTGAAAAATCCCTTTTAGACATGCTTGTAAAAATTTATTTACTTAACAGTTGGTGGGGGGAGAATTCCTTAGCTTTATAGAACGAACGTATATTTAGTGCACGATATTGACTGACATTCTCTTCCCTTTCCTTTACAGAAATTAAATTATCCTGGCAGAAAATATATGGAGATTGTACTGTTGTGTTGCATTCCGGTCAAATAAATTCTGTGAAAACTCAAATGATGGGCTCCTAGAATTTACTTGATAAATGTAGCATAATTCAGATCTGTAGGTTAAAAAAAATAAAGAAAGAAAAGTATCTCTTAATGTTGCCCTGGCGGTTAATCAGATTGGAAGGTCTTGTAGCTTGAGTAGGGATTGAGTGGGGAATTAGGCTTTATGCATAAGACGGTTACACTAGCCTAGAAACATACAGCCAGAGAATTGGCTTGTTGGATCAAAACTCAATGTGAAATTCTGACCTTGTATGCTGTTTTTGTTAGATTTTATAGGTCACAGTGGTACAATTGACCGTACAGTGGTACCTCTGGTTACGTACTTAATTCGTTCTGGAGGTCTGTTCTTAACCTGAAGCACCACTTTAGCTAATGGGGCCTCCTGCTGCCGCTGTGCCGCTGTAGCACGATTTCTGTTCTCATCCTGAAGCAAAGTTCTTAACCCGAAGTACTATTTCTGGGTTAGCGGCGTCTGTAACCTAAAGCGTATATAACCCGAGGTACCACTGTACAAGCAACAAGCCATCAGAATTCCCCTGTCTGCCCTGTCCCCCAAATATCTCCTGCACAACCCTACTTGTGTCAATTCTGCATGTAGTTCTGCCCGGGACCTAGTTTTTCAGGGAACTCCCTATTTTGTTTTGTTTCCTCTTGCTACTTTTGTCTCTTAATCAGCTTTCCTAGTACTTTCCCACCAATAATATACATCTCCTCTCATCTTTAGTACTGTGAAGTTTCCTCAGCCTCAAAGTTATGTAAGCTGCATAATAAGGAACTACTGGTGTACAGTGGTACCTTGGGTTAAGTACTTAATTCGTTCCGGAGGTCCGTACTTAAACTGAAACTGTTCTTAACCTGAAGCACCACTTTAGCTAATGGGGCCTCCTGCTGCTGCCGCACCGCCAGAGCACAATTTAACCCTAACCCTAACCTGAAGTGTATGCAACCTGAGGTACCACTGTAAATGGCAATGCTCTTATTTTTTTTCTTCTCGCCCTGCCTCAAAAGTTTCCCACAATGCTTTGTGATAGTGCAGAGAAGTGGTTTTCAAGCAGTTTGAGGAACCCCAGGGTTCTTTTGAGATATCCATGGTAGGTACACATGCTTCATTGAAAGATTCCTCCACATTACAGACGTACCTTGGTTTTCGAATTTAATCCATTCCGGGAGTCTGTTCGACTCCCGGAGCAATTTGAAAACCAAGGCGCGGCTTCTGATGGGCTGCAGGAGCTTTCCTCAGCCGATCGGAAGCCGCACCGGACATTCGGCTTTCAAAAATCATTTGAAAACCGGAACAATCACTTCTGGTTTTCGATCGTTCAGGAGCCGAAACGTTAAGAGTTCGAAGACGTTCGGCTTCCAAGGTTCCACTGTACTTCAGACCTTTCTGCAGTGTGCAATTGCAAGAGAGTGGTGTGTTCTGGGTCTCATTCTTTGGTTATAGCAGTGAGGACTAGAGACTTGTCACTGCCTCCAACTTGAACTGTCACAGAACATGCCTTTAAAAATTCTACGCTGCAGTGGGTTTCTCAGGCTGATGCTCAGGTGCTCCTTAGCAGATGGGCTGATAGAAAAGGGGTCCTCTGAAAGGATATTTTTAAAATCACATGGAACATGAAGCAAAACATTCTTGATAGGGAACTCACCCTATAACTTCCTCAGCATTGGCACAATCTCTTCAGCAGCTGCAAGAGTCTTCACTTTCTTTTTTTGAAATAACTTTTCAGTTGATGGGTCTGATGTGGTAATGATGCCTCTGGGACCTAATTACTAGGAAAATGGCAATTAGCCCTTCACACCAGATTTTCCCAGTGTGCTACCTCTTGAAGTGTCTCACTCACTTGTGTCAACATATTTGGGGTAGCTTTTCTGCTGAGAAGGAAACAGCAAAAAAAAAGAAGACTGAATAGTTATTTATAGAAGAAACAGCTTCTTTTTGACATGTGGCCGGTGTATTTTTAGGTTTTAAATTTGTTGAAGCCAATGTACTTCCTGTTTGTGAGGTGTCTTGCTCCTGAGTTCAGGAATTACTAGATTTAGTAGTGTCATGTTTCCTGTCAAACAATGCTTTGGGTTCAATATGTTTCCATGAGAGCAGCTTAGAAAGATTTCCAACTTCTCGCAGGGAAATCCAGCAGGTAAAAAAAAGTTTTCCCCTGTTACTGCATCTGTATATGGGTTAATATGGCCTGTCAGGCTAGGTCTCAAGAAGGTTGCTGATGTGTGATGCTCTGAGGTCTAAGGCTACTGTGGGTAACCTTTGGTACAGCAAATGACTTCTTACAAGTTACACCTCTTACATGCGTATTTCCAGAAGAAGGATCAAAGCAATAGTTTTGGAAGATGTTGATTTTAAAAAGAGGAAATTCAGTTTATTACCCCTGCAAGGGTGCCCTCGTTCATTGTCTCCTGAGACAGAAGGATGCTAACCTCTTTCTCCCCTGCACACCTTTTGATGCGCTCTTGGTAAACATTTGGTAGTACTGTATGCCAGCAGTAACACTGCACAGAATAACTGCATGAGGACAGGCTGGTTAGTCTTTCTTATGCAGTTCAGAGTCCCAATACTCGCTTCCACTAGCAGTAATATTAAAAACAAACTTTGACTTGCTCTTGGTGAAACATGGCTCAACTTCACGTTCGTAAAATGTGAGCTTTATGAAATTTATAAGCCAAGTTTGGAATAGCTGTATTGGAGAATAAGGCAGGAAAAGTTTAAAAGACAGTAAAATGCTGCTGTTGTTTAGTCGTTTAGTCGTGTCCGACTCTTCGTGACCCCATGGACCAGAGCACGCCAGGCGCTCCTGTCTTCCACTGCCTCCCGCATATTGGTCAAACTCATGCTGGTAGCTTCGAGAACACTGTCCAACCATCTCATCCTCTGTCGTCCCCTTCTTGTGCCCTCCATCTTTCCCAATATCAGGGTCTTTTCCAGGGAGTTTTCTCTTGAGGTGGCCAAAGTATTGGAGCCTTAGCTTCAGGATCTGTCCTTCCAGTGAGCACTCAGTGCTGATTCCCTTCAGAATGGATAGGTTTGATCTTGCAGTCCATGGGACTCTCAAGAGTCTCCTCCAACACCATGATTCAAAAGCATCAATTCTTCAGCCATCAGCCTTCTTTATGGTCCAGCTCTCACTTCCATACATCCAGTAAAATGCAGTTCTACTTAAAAGTAGCATTTTGTATTCTGCTAGTTGTCACTAGAGGGAAGTGTAACCACAGCAGCAGCTGAAACCAAAGATGCAGTCTCTCTTTAAACAATACTGCAGAAGGCACGTTCTCCAGCAATATAAAACCATGGCTTCACCTACCCGCCCCCCCAATGTTGCTGAATTCCAGCTCCCACGAGCATGAGCAATGGGCAGGGATGATGAAACGCGTCCAGCAACACCGGGAGGCTCTCAAATTCTCAATATACAGTGATACCTCTGGTTATGAACTTAATTCGTTCCGGACGTCTGTTCTTAACCTGAAACTGTTCTTAACCTGAGGTACCTCCCACTACCGCCGTGCCGCCGGCACATGATTTCTGTTCCCATCCTGAGGTAAAGTTCTTAACCCGAGGTACTACCTCCGGGTTAGCGGAGTCTGTAACCCAAAGTGTTTGTAACCCGAGGTGTTTGTAACCCGAGGTACCACTGTATTAAATAGAGCAGAGTGGTCTCTTGGTTGTATTCTTAAAAAAATAATGTATTCATGTTTCATCCTTATGCCAAAGTATTAACGGCTTGAATAAACATGTTTAAAAGGGGCTAATGGATTTGGTGCAAAGTCAAATTGGTAGCTGCGTAGAGAAAATAAGTTATTGGCACCTGCCAATTCAGAGGAATGTACTAGTGTAGCAAGCAGTATTCCTCCCACAGGCACAGCTTATGTGCAGAGAGCTAAAAGGCAGGTTGAAGATCGGGGAAAACTTGCACAGGGCCTAGGACAGAAGGAGAGTTGTGGTACAACTGGTAGCATACAGCTCTCCCACTTACTATTCTATCCTGGTTGGGGGGGGGGTCAGTTTGGCTTCAGATACCTGAGAAATAACCATTTGCCTTGTGGAACCTAATCCCTGTTTGAGCCTAATCTGAGGGAAAAGTCAAGAGGGTTACAACTCCTGCTCCTATTGCGATGAGGGTGAACTTTTGCAGTGGGTGGTGTTTTGGAGCCATGGATGCTCCCAGTGTGGTTGAGAAGCGTCCTTGGATGCAAAGGGCTCATGAGAGAGGGTGAGCTTGGGAGGACAGGCTAAATAGCTCTGCCACATTCAACCAATGCCTGAAGAGGATGCTTGAGGTGCACTGTTTTCTGTGAAGAGGTCTAGTAGTGTACTTTTTGCATTCTCAGTACTGTAAGAGGAAGGGCTTTATCTGGCGCAATTCTTCCCACATAAGGAGTCCTCTCCAGGCATGGGCCTCGTGATCCTGTTAACAGCGGAGTTTCCCAATAAAGGATCAAGCATTTCAAGCAAAAGGAATATGGCCGCCCCTGTGAAAACCCTTCCTGTCTTGGAGATTTTAAAGAACCAGATGATCTCTCCAGATGAGGAGTTGGTAAACTTAGTGAGGCACAGACTTGTGCTTTCATCCTTTCTGATTTTTAAACAACCAGAGGAATTTATGGTGCTGCAAGATCCATTAGGCAAATCATTCTGATTTTACCCCATGCTAACTGAGCATGATGGGATTTGTAGTCTAATACAGATGGAGAGCACCAGGTTGGGGAAGGCTGTTCTAAATGGTATCAGAAAGGATTGCTATTATGAGCCAAAGACTCTGTTATAATCTGAGATGATGGGTTCTCTAAGAGAACTTATTTATTGAACATTCAACCTGATTTGCTCACACAAAATTTACACAGAGCTTAGATTCTAAGGTGGGTTTGTTGTGCCTGGGTGCCAGAGTGCAAAGCTAAATTTCCAAGCATGCACTTTAATCTCTCCTGCAAAATGGCGACAGTCTGGAGATGCTCCATATCTGCAAGTTAAGAACCATTTTGTGGCTATGGGGATAGAAATGTTGTGGTGTAGTGGTTAGGAATGTAAATTATGAGGTTCAAATGTCAGCTCACCCATAAACCTGTGGGATGCCTCTCATCCTGGCCT